ACTGAGATTTAATTTATTTTTCTAATTTTCATATATTGTCAATTTAGTTTTACAGAAGTATTGATTCAAAAGTAATCACATTTTAAAAAAAAAAAAATTAACTCTCATTGGTTAATAAATTTTAAACTAATGTTAATATAAAATTTTTTCTTAATTCATTAATGAGATTTAATTTATTTTTTTATTTTTCATGTATTTTCAATCTATTACAGGAGCATTGGTTCAAGAGCAATTTTATTTTTAAATTTTTCTTATCGTTAGTATTAACTCCATTCGACTATCCTTCTCCATTTGTTGTACTTTTTCATACCTTTTTAATTTTTTTAATCAATGAGATTTAACTTACTCCCTCCGTTTAAAAATATAAGGTATTTTTAAGAAGTTAAATGTTTAAAAATATAAGGCATTTTTAATCTTTCGATGTATAATTATTATCTTTTTTTTTTAAGTGTCCCTATTGATAATGATTTTATATTTATTATAGAGTGTTTAATAAGGATAAATATGAAAAGATATGATTAGTTAAAAAGACGATAACTACTTTATTGGGGGGTGATATTCGATTAAAAATGTCTTATATTTTTTAACAAAGGGAGTATTTTTTTATTTTCCATGTATTTTAAGTCTGCTTTCATAGGAGCATTAATTCAAAAGCAGTCCTACTTTTAAATTTTCATGATCGTCAGTACTAACTTCATTTGATTATCCTTCTATATTCATTGTATTTTCCCATGCTTTTTTAATTTTTTTGATTAGTGAAATGTAATTTCTTTTTCTATTTTTTATGTATTTTCCTAATTTATTGTATTCAATATCAATTAACTATCATCCATAAATATTTCTATAAAAAAAAAAGGAAATAAAAAGAAGTTTGTGTTTAATTTAAATCATCAATCTTTATCTCATGGTCTTAGCTCTTCAAACTATGAATGTTTCACCGTCCATTTCATACTAACAAGATAACACAGCGACTATTTAAATACTCTAAATAAGCAAAACTTGAGTAGTAGAGGTATCTTTTTTGTAGCCCTTTTGCTTTGTACATAAAAATAGAAGAAGAATAGGAATCGAAAAATACAAAAAAATATAATACAATTAAAAAAAGGAATCCCTTTGAATTCATTATCATATCCGTACTTGTGAAAATACCCTTTATGTCATAATTTATAAACTAGTGTCTAATTTTTTTATGTAGTCAAAAACGAGGGATTATCGAGGGTTCTAAAGAAGTATCTTCTTGTAGGCTAATATTTTTTAAGACTCTAAGAATAGGTATTTTCTAGATAGGTTTTTCACCACAAGCTTGAGAAATAAAGACAAAACATGTACAGATAAAGTATTCAAAAAGGAAAATGATTGAATAGAGGAATTTTAAAAAATTTAGCCATCTCAGATGTGCCAATATTAATGGTGTTAATGATATTTGTTTCAAATTCCTTCATTCCAACTCGTGTAAAGTAAGGGAAACTGTCTAGTTAATTTATATTGATAAATTTATATTCAACCCTCATCTACCAGAGATAATCAAGTATCAAGTAGTATTGAAAAAATTCTTCCATGTCAAAAAATATTTTTAAAAGGGGTTTTGTTAAACGTTTGGACATGCAAAATGTGTTTTGATAATAATACCTCTCCATTCATTTGAATACTCATATTTGCTGTATTTTTGAGTCTAGAATACTTCTTTTAACTAAAAAAATTATTGAACAACTAAATTTAAAACGATCTAACTTTTATTATTCATTTTAAGTAAATATCCATTATGAGCTTAAAAACTCTCTCTCCCCTCTGCTTCTCTTCTCTCCTTTCTCTCTCTCTTCATCTTTCCCTCCTCCTGCTCTACTCCGCCCAAGTCAAAAGTGTACACCAAGCTTGCCTCACCCGTTATGAATCTTACCAAAATTTTATCACTTATTCCTATTCCATTCCACAATAAGGTCAACTCCTATAATGATTTTTGTAATCAACTAGTACTAAACTAATATAATCAAATAACCCTTACAATAAAATATCAGCCGCAATTGTGATTAATTAAACCAAGTTTTCAAAGCTATTTTAAAAGATTAGGATTCCAAAAATTATTCAAAACCACATTTAAAATAATTCATAATTGAAGGCGCTTAAAATCAAAATATAAGAGTTTGTGTAAATATGGAAAATTAGTTGAGCATTTAGACGGATTCAAACAAGAGTGAACCAAAAATTATGGAAATATGGGTACATCGACTACAGCTAACCCTAAAAGAGATAATTGATTACAACTAAAGTATTTATCTGCTATAATCTATGGTACAGAGACCACTTGCTACAGTCAACACCAAGCAATATATTCACCGAGGCTAAGAATGCATCCGTTGCGATGAAAACCTCATAACAACACATGATTAGATAGCATGAAATCTTAACTCCCAAATCACCTAATAACTTACTCGGACCCTTGATTGAGATGGTCAAAGCACTCGCGTGCATGCAATTAAGAAATCTAACTAATGGCTTCAGCCACGACTCTTTCCAATATTAAATGAGGATCTTATAATACTTAGAATTATAACGTGCTTGTTACACTTACAACTTATCAACCAAGTGTCTCCCCTTAAGACTAACCACTAATCATCACAACTACGAGCAACATAAATCTCAATCAAGCTATGCATGCTTAACTCCTCAAAACACTAATTCATTTGATAATTATTAATTATAACTTAACCACACACTTGCACATTTACCTTGAACTCAAAGGAATATAAGAGACCTCAAATAAAAAATGCCACAACCTACAAATAGCCTACATGCAAATGATAAGGTATACTAATAAGACAGCTCCTAATGTTGGCAATATTAAGTATTCAATTATATAACTAAATAATCAGGGACATAACTTGTAAAGTTAAACATCTTTACTCTTTGTTGTTTCCCCCATTTACTTTCACAACTAGAAAAATGTAAATTAGCGGATGATCATCTATTCCTCTTTAAAATATCAAATTAGTGAGAAAAGTCGTGAGGAATGTTAATTTCATAACTCAACTTAAAATTAGTGAGAAACTATCAACTCCTCTCTAAAATAAGAGAATTAGCGAAGGTTATTAATTCCTCTCTAAAATAAGATAATTAGTAAGGAAAATAGTGAGGGACTGTCAATCCCTCTCTAAAATAAGACAATTAGCAAGGAAAATAACGAAAGACTATCAATTCCTTTCTAAAATAAAATTAGTAAGAGATTTTATCCCTAATTAATCAATACAACAAAAAATTTAAAATTTTGGCAATGATTTTTAATTATATATTTAATTATTTTTATTTAAAAATTAAAATTAAATTTAAAAATTAACTAAATATTCATAATAAAATTATTTAGTATTTAATATTTTCTTTATTTTAGTTTTACTTTCATTAATAAAATAATATTTTATTAAAAATATAATATAATGAATAATATAAAAAATTATAAAAAATTTAAATATTTTTAACATATTAATAATTGAAAATAAAATTTAATATGTATATATGTGTGTATTTTTATACTATATTATTTGATATATCTATGCAGTTAAATAATATATATTTAACTTTTCATATAATGACTGCATGTCCCTTTTAGTTCAACTAGTAGAGAATAAAATCATAAAGCTTTGATGGTATGAGGTCAAAAGTTTAAATCTTAGCTTTGACATAAGCATGATAAATATGTGATATGGTAAGGAGCAAGTAACATGGCGTAAGGTGGATAGTGACATGTTATGAGTTGTCACACATGTAGCGAGGTTATGCATAAGATAGTAGGTGACACAGTGGTTGACGAGGCATGAGGTTGTTAATGAATTCAAGCTCATAAACTTTGCAAATTGAAAATCATCTTTCAATAACAAACTATAGATTGAAAATGGTATGAAGTCCAAATCCTCCTTAAAGTGTCAAAAATGTCGTGCCTTAGCAGAGAAGAATGCCTCTCGTTGCCCTCCCTTATATTTTCTTCTTTTGTTTTTCAATTTGACAAAGCTCTTATTTTTTTTAGCCAGAAATTGACTATACATTGTGGTGCATGCCACACTTGCCATAACATGTGGTACAAAGAGCTGAGCTTCACATTTCTAAGACTTGTGCATCATAGCATCCAATGCACATGTTGTGGCATATGGCACCAAGCCAATATTCCTTGTTTTTATCCCTTTTAAGGTCCAGGCTATTTGACAATGCCCCAAATTTAAATCTAGGATTGAAACCACAACTAAACAGGCTCGTTATTGCTCTCTAAACATTTACACACTAATTACCGCATTAATTTGCTCAATTGTTCTTGATTAGTCTAATTAAATAGAAGGTTAATTTTTACGACGTCACACGCCTAGCAATATTCAAATAATTCCTATTTCAACTAGAAAGTCAGCCTCTTGCTTTTTCTAAAACTAGAGATAAGAGTTAAAATGAAGGTCTCTTGTGAATGAGTGTAATCTTCATGTATTTTCATAGATCTCCTGTAATGGCCACTTGAAGGAGTTGACTCAAATCCAAAGCTTTATTAAAATGCACATTCCCAGAATAGCACACCTTTGTCTCACTTCTATCCATTTTTTGCCTCAAAGATTCACAAAACTTCTTCACATATCAATTAATAACTTCAACTTGATTTTTAGAAGCCTTCACAAACAAAATTAGGTCATTCATTACAAAATAAGTGGGAGACCATTAATTTTTTTATTATTTTTTTTTTGGCCAGAAGTCAATCCTTCTTTATTAAGCTTTACTGACACCTATAGTAAAAAAATATGGTGATATGATACTCCCTTGATAGAGAGGGACTTGGAAATTCGCTGTTCCGATGCAAGGTACAACTAGTGGAAGTTGGAGTGGCCGAATGAGCGCCGAGAGTCCATCAACCCGATCCTGGACCGCGGACCAATACGTCGGGTTTTCACGAATGAAAAATGAAAAATGAAAAATGAAAAATGGAAAATGACCAAAGGAACCCGGCATTTATTGCACTCGCTAAGCCCAAAGGCGTTGTTTCCACCCTATCCTATTCTCATATTCAGGTGATTTTAGCGAATTAGGGTTTGAAATCAATCGAGATAACCCTGCGCCTACTTTCTCTCCGGGGGGATTTTCGGATTTGGTTTATGGCGTGAAGGCCGTAGGAAGGCATGCTTTCTGTGGTCTGACTCGTATATTTTAAGTTGGTAGGGTTTCGATTTTTTTTGCATCTGATATCAGTGATGAACGATAATGATAAACTCGAGAGAAGATCAGATGCCTTAGAAGATTCTGTAGAGAATGACGGTGTTCATGAAATCGGTGCTGGTAATCCCAACGAGAGGTCTTCGAACCTTCAAGCCGCCGACCAAGTTCGGAATCCTTCGTTCGAGCTCGGCTCGGGAGCTTCGGCTAGCGATGGCGATAATAGGCCTTCGCGAAATGTGAAATCTGAGAAGCCAGCTGTCAGTTCGATGGAAAAGTTTAGGGTTAGGGTTCGCACAGATGGTGGTGATGGGGGATCCATGGTCTCTGCGGTTAAGCATGTTGCATCAACTGTTGATCGGTTTGACGATTCTCTCACTGGACGCGAGGCTCAGAATGAGCAATTTAAGAATTACACTGATTGCTCTCACGCCCGGCATGATCGAGAAGAGCATATTAACAGCAGGCAAGCAGATGCAGAGAGGTTTATTGGTTCCGAGAGCAAATCTCTGTTATCTGAGTTTGATGATTACGTTGCTGCTGAAAGAAATGGCGGAGTGAAAGCTGGAGTGTCTAGGGGTCTAGGATATGGTTTTGAAGTGGGTGATATGGTGTGGGGAAAAGTGAAATCCCACCCTTGGTGGCCGGGACACATATATAATGAAGCTTTTGCGTCTCTTCTAGTACGTCGATCGAAGAGAGAAGGCCATGTATTGGTGGCTTTCTTTGGTGATAGCAGTTATGGTTGGTTTGAGCCAGCTGAGCTTATCCCATTTGATTCAAATTTTGCTGAGAAATCACAGCAGATACAATCGAGAACATTTTTAAAGGCCGTGGAAGAGGCAGTTGATGAAGCAAGCAGGAGATGTGGCCTGGCCTTCGCTTGTAAATGCAGGAACGCTAACAATTTCCGTCTCACAAATGTTCAAGGGTACTTTTCTGTCGACGTGCAGGACTATGAACCAGGGGGGGTCTATTCTGATAGTCAGATCAGGAGGGCAAGAAATAATTTTAAGCCTCTTGAAACTCTTGCTTTTGTAAAGCAACTGGCGTTGGCTCCCCTTGGTGGCGACCAAGGAAGCATGAACTTTATTAAGAACAGGGCTACAGCTTTTGCCTATCGAAGGGCAGTGTTTGAGCAATATGATGAGACATATGCGCAGGCTTTTGGAGTGCAGCCACAGCGGCCTCCTCATTCTCAGGTTAATCCACGAAATCAACCTATGAGGGAGCCTCCTAAAGGTATATGCTCTTCCTCGTTTTCCAATTTTATTTTACACCACATATTATTCCTAGTCTTTTGATAGAGCACAATGGCGTCTTGCAATCCATGTAGCCGACCCCACCTAGTGGGATAAAGGCTTGTTGTTGTTGTTGTATTATTCCTAGTCTTTGTTTCACATTTAATGATTCTGGAGAGTTGAATTACAAGATGACGCTCTGTTTTTTGGCATCCTTTCCTACGTTGAATGATAATGATGGCATTTTTCAGCAATTATTTTAGTTTGGAAGAGGCCTTGTTTGATTTGAAAGACTTTAGCGGTATGGAAGAACCCGGGCAATGGGGCAAGGGGACTTTCCTAAACAACTCTAAGAGTGGGTGACTGGGTGACACCAGCTCTGTTTGCTGCTTTCATTTCTTAGCTGGTAGCGTCGTGCCTTCCTGACTTTTTCACTGCTCAGGAGAAGAATTTGTGTTCCTATCTGGGAGTTTTACCTTACCGTACTTACTAATCAGGGAACTAGGAAGAGGAGTGCAGTCTGATAAAGCAAGGCCGAATCCACCTAGGTATAGAATAGGGATCCTGTAGCGTAGCTAAGGAAGAATTGAGGTGCAAACTGTTGATGATATTTAATTACTTCCCCTAGGGCTTTTACTGAACCAATGTGGTAACTGATGCCATGGGGGAGGCTGAGGTGATTATTACCTCATTGCTTACAACTTTTTCTGAACCACAGAACCAGTATCTGAGACTACTTCTGTCGCTTCAATAAAGGATATGCACCAGTAAGAAGAATTATTTTATTGACAAGAGAAATGGAATGGAATCTGTCTCTCTCCCAGCTTCATGCTTTACACTAACCGGATGACTGACATATTTCTCTAGCTACGTCTCCAAATAACATTGTATTTCAATAGCTTTAACTACCAGTTATATGTGCATCTGCAAAGTTACTTAATCTGTGTAGATAAGCAGTAGAGTAATCAATAATATGCAAGTTTTCATATCTGCACAACTTATGGTTGAATTGAATTTTATAATTACACAGTATTAGCATGCCATGGTCAATTTAGCAACAACCATTGTTTAATCTGGTCATTTTAACGCATTCAGATTCCTTTTTTAACCTCATGTGAATGCTTTCTCTTAATTGTTTTTTGTTGTGTTCTCCAGCGCCTTTGAGTGGTCCATTGGTGATGGCTGAAACTTTGGGTGGGGGAAGGAATTCTGCAAAATCTGGGAAAGTTAAGGACAATTCAAAGAAGGATAGATACCTTTTTAAGCGGAGAGATGAGCCTGCGAACTCTGTTCAGTTAGCTTACAAAGAGGAGGCACCTGATGCAGCTGGCCATTATGTATTTCAGAAAAGGGCTCCCCCTGTGTCTGCAGCACCTCAAATTTTGGACAAACATGAAATCACAGGGTTCATTTGCCAGGGTGGTGCAAATTCAACTTTAGATCTTAAAGAAGCTGTGACAGATCAGGCTCAACTTGGCAATGATCTCACATCCCAATCTGTATATGCAGATGCAAAGCCAAGTCTTGAGAAGGGAAAGGACGAGCTTTCTCAAGAAATGGTCAGGAGTTTTGAGAAGGACGTTGTAAGTAAAAGCAGGGGTGCGTTGGATTTTTCTACAGAGACTGTAGTGTCAAGCCTCATTAGCGAGGCATCTGAGCCTTCTCATTTGGTAGGTGAAATTTCCCTCAATGTTAAACATGAAGGGAATGTAAATCTCTTAGGACCACCTGATGAATTTCAGCCATCAGAGCAGGAAATTAAGACTGCTGCTGAAGCAGGCAATGGCCCAAGTCAAGTTAAGGAGACTCTGCCAACTGAAAAAAAGCATCCCACGGTCAATGATGATGGTATGTTGAAGAAGGTAAAAGGCCATAAGCGACCTTCAGATGACTTGAACTCTGAGCATTCTGCTATTGGGGAGAAAAAGAAAAAGAAAAAGAAAAAAGACCCAAGTTTAGGAACAACCTCTGATCATCTAGAGAAACTTGCAATGTCTGGAAAAGTTGTACCTCCATCTGGAAAACTGATAGGAAAACCAGTTTCTGTTGGGTTGGTTCCTAGGGAGGAAGTTCAGGCAGGACAAGCACAGATGGATGTTAGTGTCAATAATTTGCTTCCTTCAGACGGCAGAGGTGAAGTTAATTATGAATTACCCCAACTTTTGAGCGATCTGCAAGCTCTTGCCTTAGATCCTTTTCATGGTGTTGAAAGAAGGACACCTGCAATTGTTAGACGGTTTTTTCTGCGGTTCAGGTCTCTTGTTTATCAGAAAAGCTTGGTTTTGGCACCTCCATCAGATAATGAATCTCTTGACATTCGCCATGCTTCACCAGTTGTAAAACCTGATAGCCCTCTTGATGATCATGTCAGAGCTTCGCCACTTGTAAAACCTGTAAAACATGTTCGACAAGATGATCCAACAAAAGCTGGGCGGAAAAGGACCCCATCAGATCGCCAAGAAGAAATTGCTGCAAAGAGATTAAAGAAAATCAAGGAAATTAAGGCTCTGGCAGCAGAGAAAAAGGTGGTCAGTCAGAAAACTTCTGAAGCCCGGCGAGGAGAGGGCAAAGAGTCCTTGGTTTCTACTGCACCCAAGTTAGTGAAACCAGATCTAATCAAGAAGAAAGTGGAATCTTCGCCTAAGGCCATTGAACCCACCATGCTGGTGATCAAGTTTCCGCCCCAAACTTCACTTCCATCTGTTGCAGAGCTGAAGGCAAGGTTTGCTCGTTTTGGGCCCATAGATCAATCAGGGCTCCGTGTGTTTTGGACAACTTCAACATGTCGTGTTGTGTTCTTGCGAAAGAATGATGCTCAAGCTGCATATAAATATGCTGTAGGCAACAATTCCTTGTTTGGCAATGTGGCTGTAAGGTGCCACCTCCGAAAATTAGGGGATTCTGCAGCGGATGACTCTGAAGTTGCCAAAGTGAGGGGAGGAGATGATAGCACTATTTTGACTCCTCGTGCCAAGGATCCTGCGGTGGTTCAGAGACAAACTTCAGTGTCATCTCAGCAACCTCTTCCACAGCCAACGATCCAGCTTAAATCTTGTCTGAAGAAATCCTCTGGTGATGAGTCTGGCCAGGTAACTGGTAATGGAGGTAGTAATAAAGGGACACCACGTGTAAAATTCATGTTAGGCGGGGAAGAAAATAGTAGGGGGGAGCAATTAACGTTGAGTAGTAGGAACAACTTCAACAGTGCTAGTTTGGCCGATGGTGGTGCGCCTTCGTCTGTTGCAATGGATTTTAATAGTAAGAACGTTCAAAAGTTCATTACTCAACCACCGTTGCCTATTCCTCCCTTTCCTACTCAGTATACGAAAGTCCCCCAACATAATTTGCATAATTCTGAAATGGCACCCAGAAATACTTCCAATATTATTAACGCAACTGCATCAGTTACTGCAAACACAGTTGATATATCACAGCAGATGATAAGCCTCTTGACTAGGTGCAACGATGTTGTGACCAGCTTGACTGGTTTATTAGGCTATGTGCCTTATCATCCACTTTGATAAAAATGGCACTATATTCAACGGTACACATAATTGAAGATAAATACGAGCGAGTTTGATTGGGGATGAATTGCCCTGGCAAGGGGAAATGCGACAAATACAATCATGGCTAAGGATGCGGGGTTCCTATATTTGGGGCCAAGAGCGAGCTGTTCAAGAGTGTGGCTTATTTAAGCCTTTTGGGCTCAACAGTGTAAACGTATTCAGCATGACAGTGAGATCTTGTTTGCTTTCTGCTGCCTTGCCATTTTTTCCTACTTAATTTTCTTACATGTCCCCATGCTCTTTGGGGCCCTCCCTTCGCCGTGGTTTCTGGTCTTGATGCGTTACGCTTGAGTATGACATATTGCGATATCCTGTGATAGTTTTTCTAGTAGTGCTGGACTAATGGTTTCACATTTTCGTTTTGTAGTTGTTTATTAAAAGGGAAAGAAACAAGCAGTAGAATCCAATGTGTTTGGCATGAGAAGAGCATTTCTTCGTCAGTTCGTCCGTTCTCCGGAAATCAGCTTTCAAAAATTATTTCATTAATCTTGAGGGAATGTTGTGCCTTACTGCCATGGGGAAGACGCCGACTAATTTCAAAGTTTTTTTTTTTTTGGGATAACTTTTCAAAATGCTCTTGAAACAGCTTTGCTGCAATGAACCTGGCAAAGTTCGGAAAAACTTGGATTTGGGCTTCATATTGAAAATATTGTGTGGGCTAAAAATTAAAAATACAAGGCGTGAGCCGTGAGGTGAGGTTCGGTTCGGTTCGAATTGAAGCAAATGAAAAACCCAAGCAGACAAATTGATTTTGATTTTTGAGATGATGAGAAGACCAAACCAAAACTTACAGTACAAGTTAGTTTTGTTTAATTTGATAATTTGATTTATTTCAATCAGTTTTGTTCGTTTTTTGAACTTGTACGCCTCTCGCAAATTTTTAACTGCCATGACCGTCTCCAAATTCTTGCGATTACGATCTATCGATTTTTAAGGTCGCTTTAGGAGGCACCAGTGACATGTTTGCTGCAAGTCACACAGTATATTTCTTTCTTTTCAGCTTCTATTCAAAGAGAGTATATTATCATGGCGCATAGCATTCCTTGTACGCAATGAAACAAAGGTAACGTTTCCATGGTCCCAGCATTAAATTTCCTCCCTCCTTCGTTGTTCGGATTATTCTCCCATCTGTCGTTGGAGAAAACGACGAACCGTTTTGAAGGGCAAGGACGACAGATAAGAGGGAAATATTCCTGGGCTAGTTGCTTGGTTACATTGGGGCGTCCATCTGGGAGGAACTTCCTTGCCATCATCATATTCCTCCCAATCCAAGTTTATTTTATCTTGTGCAGTTCATCCTTCGCGTCTCCATAATTAATCCAAGGAATTCTTCTCACCCTGATGGCACACGCTCCACAAACCCTTGTGGCCACCGAATCCGAGCCTGATGAAACTCCTCCAGGCACTCTTTCTCCTCCCGCCCCAAACCCTACTTCTCCCAACCGCGTGATGAATCCAGATTCCACCCGAATTCCGACCCTCCTCCATATTTCCTTCAATCAGGATTCCGGCTGCTTTGCCGCGGGCACGGACCGTGGCTTCCGGATCTACAATTGCGATCCATTCCGCGAGATCTTTCGGCGGGACTTTGGTGCAGGTGGTGGAATAGGTTTAGTTCAGATGTTGTTTCGTTGCAACATACTTGCCTTTGTCGGTGGCGGAGCTGACCCTATTTACCCAAATAACAAAGTCATGATTTGGGATGATCATCAGTCCCGGTGCATTGGCGAGCTATCGTTTCGATCCGAGGTCAAAGGGGTTCGTCTTAGAAGGGATCGAATTGTGGTGGTTCTGGTGCATAAGATATTCGTATATAATTTCGCAGATCTTAAAGTGTTGCACCAAATTGAGACAACGGCGAATCCAAAGGGACTTTGTGAGGTTTCACATGTTTCAGGGACAATGGTGTTAGTCTGTCCAGGGTTGCAGAAGGGTCAGGTGAGGGTCGAGCATTACGCCTCAAAGCGGACCAAGTTTATAATGGCGCACGATTCTAGAATAGCTTGCTTCGCGCTTTCGCAGGACGGGCGGTTGCTTGCCACTGCGAGCAGCAAGGGAACTCTGGTCAGGATTTTCAATACATTGGACGGTTCGTTGCTCCAAGAGGTAGCTTTATTGGATTATCTAAAGCTTGTTTTCCGACATGCATGTCTGTAATCGTACTTTTGTAGATGTGCGTGTGTAAATATGCTATGAAGCTGTGAAAAAATTACACAGTGCTTTTTGTTTAGGGCTAATGAGTCATGCATGCGCATCTGAGGTGAATATTTTCCGAAGAAATTCACAGGTTCACAGATGTTGATGCATATAGGAAATGCGCTAGAGACCTACTAACTTGTTGAAAGTAGATACTTTGTGGCTGCGAAAATAAATGCAGGCCGCCGGGATTTTACCCGAAACAAAAGTCAGTATACTGGATTTGAAATTTATCTCTCTTTGGAGGAGTCTAAGAGTTTTTAACCATATATTCCTACTTGCTTTTGTTTGGCCTATTAATATTGTCAATATGCATCTAGGAAGCACAGTAACTGTCACACTGATATAGAGTTGATGCTGTGACGAAACTTTAGCTATCATGTGACATAAAAGTGTATTCAGGGTTGCATCATGCCTAACATGTGCGTACAGCATGTGTTATAAGTTATAACTCACCATTTTTGTTTCGGGTCATACTGAACCCAACATGAACTCATACCATTGTCATGTGTTCCATGCACTCTCCATCATGTACATGAACTTCTGGAACAGCATGTGCCATGTCATTGAAAGGGAAAGATTTTATGCATATGGCTCATGCATATATATTGTAAATTTCAGAATGTTGATTGGTTAACTGTTGAGCTGTCAAAATGAGTAAATTTTCATAGTTTTTATCCTCTTGTCCCTGTCATTTTTAGATTTATATCTCATTTGTTGTTACTTGTTGCTAACTTGCCATGTGACGGGACTGACTGTTTAACTTAAACAGTTGAACTGTGACTTCTGATATTGGAGATAGTTCCAAGAATTGGCTTGCCAACTGAATTAATTGGATGATCACAATTGGAGTGGTAATTTGAAGGTTTAGCAGCCTTATCTAGAAATATGGATTGTATTGTAGGCTAGCCATGGGGTCAATATGGTGCAATTGTGATAATCCATGGCAGACCATGGATGAGGCAGTATATAAGTATTTATATCAATATGATTATTCTATGTAGTGCAGTTAGGACACTTAAAGAAGTCATTAATTGAGCTCTCTCATTAAGGCTTGTTGCTAGAATTGGTCTCGGACAGAGCACAGTGACATAAGGAGTAAGGTGGTGGTGGTTGTTGTTGTATTCTATGTAGTATATTTATATAAATAATGCTATGAAGTGTAAACTAATCAGCCATGCATTGGCACTAACTGAGCTTGGGCTTTTTGACCACAATACTATATTAAAAAAAATATTTATTTAATGTAATATTGTGGTAAAAAGGCATCAATACACTTCTGCGCATGCACTTTCCTAGTGCTATTTTTGTAATTTTGATTGACTTCTTTCTGGGACTTGATCTTTTCAAGCTCCATTCTTCAAATGTGTGGGTGTCTGTGTGTGTGTGTGTGTGCATTTTTAAATACGGTTATTGTTCATATCCTGCTAATAACTGTGCTGTGTCTTGAGGAGGCTTCTGGTAGGTTGTCTAAGTAATTATTTTGGATGGTGTTTCTAAATTAGTTGGATGGCATTTTCAGGTAAGGAGGGGTGCAGATCGAGCAGAGATATATAGCCTTGCCTTTTCTGCTACTGCACAGTGGCTAGCTGTCTCAAGTGACAAAGGAACTGTTCATGTCTTCAACTTGAAGGTTGATTCAGGACTATTGGGGCATGAGAGAGTGCAGAGTGCATCGGAAACTAATCCTGCTAACCCATCAGCAGTTTCATCTCTTTCTTTTATAAAAGGTTTGTTCACTTGTACACAATGAATAATTATGCTTTTGTCAAGGATGATATTGGGTGCATTATTTGGTTATTACAATTAACAAATGATGTAAAAGTGATATGCATACATTCTCTCAATTCTGAGTTTACAGGTGTTCTGCCCAAGTATTTTAGCTCAGAATGGTCTGTGGCGCAGTTTCGCTTGCATGAAGGTTTGCAATATATTGTTGCCTTTGGCCATCAGAAGAACACAATCGTAATACTTGGGATGGATGGAAGGTATTTGAGAAATAAATTTTGTTTCTTAGATATATTAGACTCATTGACTAGAATATCATATTAGAAATATGGTTTGTGTTGCTATGTCAAAAAAATAGAAATATGGTTTGTGAAGTAAAACTTCAAAACTGGCTTCTCGTCTACCCCTGCACATTGCCCGTTCAGATTAATCAATGCTTATAATTTAGTTTTTAGCCAAGGGGTATCTCTTACAACAGAAAAAAGCTGAATTAAGCTGTGACTTGTTATAGGATGTTGGCTTGGGTGAAGGGGAATTGTGTGACCTCTACTTTTGTCATATTATTTTTGGGCATATTGTTCAAAGTCTGCTTCATTAACTAGAAAGCATGCAAAAGTATATCTTCAGTTTCTTAACTTGACGACTAAAATGTAGTGTCTGATGTCAATCTCGCACGGCTCAAAGACTCATGGTTGTCTTAAGTTATATGAATCGTGTAATGTTAAACTATTTATCAAGTTTCGGAATAAATTTTGATGCAATTTATTGGATTTTCAATGCAGCTTCTATCGATGCCAGTTTGATCCGGTGAATGGTGGAGAGATGAGCCAAGTTGAATATTATAACTTCTTGAAGCCAGGGGAGATATTCTAGAACTGGATTGGATGAATCATGTATAAATCTTTGGTGGCCATTGTTAATATTATTATTTTCTCGTCACCCCCGTTGTGCGGAACGTAGAGGTTGTAAATATACGTAATTATGTACAGGCCTAACGTTTTTCAATCCAGTCTTGTCGACCTGAGGATATCATGCATTTTTTTTTTTTTGGCCAGCAGGATGTCATCAAATCACGATCATCAATACGTAACGCACTTGAACAGTGACTGTCTAGTGGACCGTTGTCAGTCATTACAACTTTAATTCCGTCATCTTCACACACATGGAAAGACGACTACGCGTACCTAATCATGCCTGCATTTATATCCCAAGAAATGAGGTCGATCTTGCTTCTCCTTCTCGATGGGGTGGACGTTTCTATTTTCCTCAGACCATGCTGAATTGAATTGTTTATCTTTGCAGGCCTTGCGTTTAATTTGTAAAACGTGATCGAGTTAATGTCTATATTGTACAAATTTGGACATGGAAACGATTGCATGCCGTAGAGCCAAGATACGCATTACTAGTTTCCCACTATGCCATAAAATGTACGCATCTGATGAATTAAAAGAGGTAAAAATAATAGTTCTAAATTTAGGAAGCTGTGCTTTAACTTTTAGAAAATATTCTCTTATTCTTATTATAAAATACTTTTAATTATTTTATGTATTTTAAAACAATCAGTTTTTCTCTCAAAATCATAAAAAAATTAGATGTACTTTTTTTATTTTTAACTTGTAATAATTATACAACTATATTAAATGTTTTCATGTTAATCAATAAAAGATAAAATTAAAAAAATAATTTAAATATTACAAAGCATTTTATATTTTGAATTAAAAATTACTGTCAGAAGATGTTTTACCAAAAAAACTGGAGCGCGTAATTGAGAAGAAATCTTATTTTGCAAGAAAAGAGTACTGCTAGTATTTTTCTGCAGAGGAACGGACAGCACAAGGAAATGCAGAATGGAACATCTTTACTTTAACTGCCTCTCACAAATCGGGATTGGACTCCTCCGGAATAACAGTCAACGTTGCCACTTTATCCCTTGCTCTTTTCACTAATACCTCAATGGGCACGCCAACTCTGTTCTCCATGATTTCAACTACCTGAAATAATGTACGATTACTTCAAATCATATATGAAAGAGAGAAAATCTTATGTTTTATAAATAAATAAAAAGTGAAAATACAAAAAAATGGAAAATTTCACAGAAATTCATGAATCTCAACTTTAAATGATACAAGTCAGGATATCAGGTCATAATCAACACCAGATTCTTCTCACTTCTTTCTTTCTTTCCTTTTTTTATTTTTTGGGAGGGGGGGGGGGGAACCTTCTCACTGCACAGTAATACCAAGTCTAAAGCAGCACTAGGTTTAGAAAGGGAAAAACTGCTTGCGAGATTGACGTTTAATTGTTTTGGATACCTATTCTCCGCAGCAAAACTAAAATAGCAATAATACATAACAAAAAATGTCAATACCTCCATGATCCTTTCTACGGGCTTCCCATCAAATTGAATGACAACATCACCAGGACGAAAACCAGCTCGATCGCCAGGGGACCCAGGAGTTACCTAGTAAAATACCAGGAAGATTAGAACGACAAACATGTAACCTAAAGCATTGAAATCCTTAACTAACCAAACTAAAAGGGCTAACATACATTCCAACGATTAATTAATCTCATAAAGTATAAGGATTCTGACCACTAAATATACTCTTTGATTAATTACTAAAATATGAAATGCCTAGAGTCATTTGCTAATTGTCTTTGCATGTTTACAGAATTATCATTTATCATTGATCAATTAGGGACTTACCATAGGTACAAGAATGCCCTTGCTGACATTAGGGAATGAAGGATCTCTCTCTTTTAGCTGGGCTATAATCATTTCATTAAGATCAATCATTTTGAGCCCAAGCCATGGCCGTATAACTCTCCTGCACAACACAGTGATCTTGTATGTCGCTCAACATGGAAGTATGCAAGAATAAATCTACAAGTAGGAACTCGACATGAAAATCTTTTATCCACAATTCTAGCTGAAAATTTTTACAGTACTTCTAAAAATGGGTAAATAAAACATAAATTATCAGAGATGGTAGCACCAAATCTAAATGTTGTAAATAACACAAATAGAAAGCTAACATCAATTTACAATACAAAACATCAGTCAGCCTTTCAGAGATAAGTCAGTGTGATAGTTTAGAAACCGTAACATACCCACTTTTCTTGAAGTGCTCTATAATTTTACACACCGGGTCAATTGGTACAGCGAAACTCAATCCATCAGCAGCTACCAACTTCATGATATTTACACCAACAACTTCTCCATCAATGTTAACAAGAGGTCCACCAGAATTTCCCTATACCACGGGAAGAAATGTAAAGGTAGATTGAACATTTATGCAAGTTCCCAGTTGTTTTGCATGCCACATACATGGCAGGTGGTAGCTCGTGGGGAAGAAGAGAATGGGACATACCATATTAACTGCACAATCTGTTTGTAAATACTCTCTTCGCAAGCCACCAAGACCCAGATCACTACTTTTACGGTCGACACAACTATGTCCAGAAAGGAAAGAATGATCAAGACCATAAGAATTTCATCAGTCTAAATCACATAAATAAGCTTCTTCTTACTTAACCACGGTAAACTACAAGGTCTCATAATAAGTTACTGTTCTTAAATCTTAACAATGGCTTTAGATGAGAATGACGAAATGAGAGACAAAAGAATAGATTAAACCAGGGTTACATCTGTCATCTTCTGAAATTTATTCTTCACACCTTACAATACCAGCTGTGACAGTATTCTGAAGGGAAAGTGGACAGCCTATTGCCAATACCCACTCCCCAGGACGAAGCCTGCTAGAAGAACCAAGTTTAGCTGTTGGTAGTGGGTTTTTGGAATTGATTTTAACTAAAGCAATGTCCGAGTGCAGGTCAGCATTCATCACTGTGCCCTCAAATGTCCTTCCGTCTTGTAAAGTCACATCAACCTGTAAAGTTATTCATAGTTTCGGATCAGCCATTTACTTTATGAGCCAGAAAACAATTTCCATAGGCATAGGTTCTTAATTTGTGACACGATGTCTTGACAGTGTCCAACTATCAAAATAACAGAGAATATCATCATACTCAATCTCACACATATTATATAAATAATTTGAATGGTTTGCGGCTTGGAGTTACTTAAAGAGATGACAATTTCAAGTGAAGATTTTGAAGAAATAACCATATAACAAAACATCAAAAGATTAAGCATGTTTAATGTAAGTCATAACAAGATGTTCAGTCAGTTAAGTCATTATAGTATGTTTAATGCATGTCATATATTGTGGACTGGTCAACGTCCTTGTAATTGCACCTTCACTCAAACACCAAAAAAAAAGAAAAGAAAAAAAAAAATTCACAAGGTCAAGCCCATATAGCAACAACCAAAACACAAGGCCATTCTTTATTCATTACTCCCAGTCCTAGCAACACATTGTCATGCTTTTTTGCAAACAGGTCTGTTTGCGATCTTAAAGCGTGCAAGCCTAACACCCATTTCCAGGTTTTGGAGGGACTTATTTTTTAAAGCAAATAAAAGAGAAAACACAGCATGATGATAAATCTTAGTTGGGCGAGCAAGATATATCACCTATACTTTAGCAACCCCATAATCTAAAGCCAAGAATCAACGAATCAGAGACTAACAATAATTTGACAATCATCCAGAATAAGAATCTAATCAAAATGCCTATCATGTAGCTGGCAGTTGGCTTCAAGTTAAGCTCCATCATGTTGAGCTCATTCACGCAAGATGCTGAACTCATTCAAGCTCTCACAGGAGCATCATATAAATCTGCAACAGTTATGATTTAGCATTGTTGCAAAGACGGGCTTGAGTGAAACGCTCCATCATGAATACAAACCTTCCCCTTGGATGAACTTCTCAGGCCTTGAAAATCAACCACAAGATGAGCACAAGTCAATATTGTACCATCCTTGTCAATTATAGTTCCAGAGCCAATGCTCTTTCCGGTAGTCATACCATAAACCCCTACAAGGTTGATGCATAATCTCAAGGTAAACGCTATAGCATACCAAATTTCAAATAATGCAGGTGAAGAGATCCCCAATTTGAAAAGCACATTACCTTGTGAAACTGAAAGATTTACAACAGCTGGACCAACCTTAGCAGCCGCATTCGCAATGGTATCTCTGCCCAAACAATCACAAGGCTTTGCACCACCATCTACAATTCCAGAAGCTTCCTTTGGTATGTCAGATGATGGAGCAGGACCGACTTTATAAGAATGTAGCGGAATTATTCCTAAAAATTTTAGACAATGATGTGACACAGACCTTTTTGCATTGATGAGGAACAAATTCAAATTCCAAGTTTTAGCGAAGCGAGGAAATACCGGAGAGACCATGATCCAAGGAAAAGGGCACATTACGAGGATACAATTCATGCAGTAACTGCCGATCTCGCAACCGTTCGGGGAAGTGCACTGTCGCCGATGCTCCTAAATTTGAAACCAAGGTAATAAGATATGGACATGACAGTTAATTGATATCTGCTAGTTTTTGGAAGCCAATAAATGCAGAACCGTTGGTTAATTTTCAAAATTAGGCATATACTAGAGTTGTTAAGTGAAAACTCAAAGAAAAACATCCAATTAGAAACAAGGAAATCAACACGCAACGTTTCTCAGGAATGCTCAATTCAAAAACAGTCGACGAAAGAAGTTAACGAGCTCACTAAAATTAGCATCGCCACTGGAGTACCAGAGACCCGAACCAATAGCGGCGATTGCTATGGTCCGAATGAGAGAGCTTCTGCCACTGCCAGAATGAGCAAGCCTTCTCTGCAACAGAGGTCAGTTCCAAACCAAGAAAAGAAAAAGAATAGCATCAGGTTACGACTAAGAAACACAGGTTATTCGAACTGAAGCATTGCCAAAAAAAAAAAAAAAAGGACTGAAGAATGACAAGGGTACCAGGAAATAGCTCATGACGGGCGACGACCTGAAACTTCCCGAGTCCTCAGCCCATCGAGGAAGTGAACATTGTTAGCGTGGCACAGGTGCTTTTTTCTTTTCTTTTCGTTTTAAAATACCGGCCCGTGAAATAAGGCAAAGGTTAATTTTTTTTTTTTGATAAATAAGAAACAATCAAAACAAATAGCAAATAAAAACTAAAACTCCTCCATGAATGAAGGAATAAAGTCACTAGCCACTACGTGAAGACCCATGGGGAGAGATAAGACACGTTTTGCTAAGGAATCAGCTTCTGAGTTGAACTCCCTTCCAATGCATCTCATATCAACCTGCCAGTCTCTTTGAAGTATTTGTTGAATTTCAGCAATAAGCTCTCGGTCTTCATGAAGGTCATAATTATTGGCTCTTAACAGAGACAGTGCTTCATGACAATCACTATGGATTCTTACATGCTTGGTTTTGATAACCCAAGCACGCTTTAGACCCATATAACAAGCCTATAATTCTACCGTCAGATTATCCCCCTTCTCTAAACGAAGCATGAAAGCTTCAATGATATTCCCTTTGGTATCCTTAACTAGACCTCCACAACCCTTAGAATTAGTAGCAGCCACAAAAGCCCCATCAACATAAACAAAGAGCTCATCAGTAGCTAAGATAGTCATATCCACCTGATTATTAGGACGAATGCCAGCAATAGATGTATTTTGTAAACGACAGTTAGCCACGTTCATGCAGTTAAGGATAACAGTAGCTTGTGCGATGACACTCACTGTAGTCGATCTTCGTCCCTCAAAAACTCTCTCATTCCTACGTTTCCATATTGCCCAACACAGAACAGCAAACAAATCACACCACTTGAAATTATTAACTGTTACCTGAATCTTGAGATTCATCTTGCACCATTCACGTAAGTCTGTGGTAAAGAAAGCCCGTCTTTGAGAAGGGCGTAATAATTTCATCCACACTTCCTTAGCTTCAGGGCACTGTCTCATCACATGTAGAGTGTCTTCAAACTCCTCAGGACAACAACTACACCACGGTTGAATATCCAAATGACGATCAAAGCGAGATTTATTAGTAAGGATACGATCATGACTCATGAGCCAAAGGAAGGATCTACACCGCTGAGGCACTCGAAGCTTCCAAATCTTGGCCCATATCTGATCAGGGCAATCATAACTATCTATCAATGAATCATAAGCAGAACGAACTGTAAAAATACCATGCTTCTCATGTTTCCATCTAACAACTTTCTCATTTGCTTGGTTGGTTATAAGTTCTAACTTTGCTTCAACTTTCTCCCAATTATTTCTCAAACCTCTCCAGAACTGAGATCCGGGGAGAGTCCTATTCACTTGTGGAATTAGCTCCCTTCCACATTTATATTTACTTCTAATAACTCTAGCCCATAAAGCCTCCTTGTTATGTATAAGGCCCCATCCAGCTTTCATCATAAAGGCTTTATTCTGAAGATGTGCATGTCGTAAACCTAGTCCACCATTTATTTTTGGTTTACACACTTCATCCCACGTTACAAGATGAATCTTTCTCCTTTCCCTTGTTGAGCCCCAGAGAAAACCTTGAGAACATTTATCAATCTCCTCACAAGTACTCACAGGTAGATGAGCAGTTTGCATACAATAAAGAGGAATAGTATTCAACACAGACTTTGTTAAGGTTGTTCGTCCTACAAAGGAAATAGAAGTTGCCTTCCAACTAGATAGTCGCTGTTTCATTTTATCCACCACAAATTGATAAGTATTATTGGTCACACGATTATGATGGAGAGGGACTCCAAGATATTTACCCAAATCCGCCGTACGGTTAAATTCAAGAAGGTCACTAAACTGCTGTGCTCTATTATGATTCACATTCCTAGAGAAAAACACCCTAGTTTTAGAGTAACTTACCTTTTGTCCGGACATTGCACAGAAACGATCCAGACATTGTCTAATCACCTGTACTTGGTCCAAAGTTGCTTCCGCAAAAATAACCAGATCATCAGCAAAGAAAAGATGGGAGAAAAGAGGACCATCTTTTTTTAAGCGAATGGGTCTCCAATTACCTTTAACAATCTCTTCTTGTATCAGATGAGCAAGCTTTTCAATACATAAAACAAAAAGATAAGGAGAAAGAGGATCTCCTTGACGAAGACCTCTAGTCGGTTTAAATTCTTCTATTTTACTTCCCTCCCATAAGAGTTGCATCTTAGAAGATCTTACACATTGCTGAATAACCTCAACCAGCTTAGTTGGCAAATTAATCTCCTCCAGGCATGAAATAAGAAAATCCCAATTAACTCTGTCATAGGCTTTTTCAAGATCAATCTTAATCGCCATAAAGCCTTTCTTTCCTTTCATATTACTCATAGAATGAATAACTTCCTGAGATATTATGATATTATCCGAGCTAGTTCTTCCCGAAATAAAACCACATTGATTAGGAGCAATAATAGTAGGGAGGAGAGATTTAACTCTATTAGCAATAACCTTAGTCACAACTTTGTAAATAACATTACAAAGGCTGATAGGCCGGAAATCATGAATGGACTCAGGACGTTCCTTCTTAGGAATGAGAATAAGTAACATCCCATTAATCTTATGGACAAGAGATGGGTTGTTGAAAATACACTGAACCATATTTATAACAGAATTACCAATAAACTTCCATTGGCTTTGAAAGAAAAGCGCATTTAAACCATCTGGTCCCGGTGATTTTAAAGGCCCCATACTAAAAAGAGCATTCTTAATTTCCTCATCACAAAAATTACTAACCAACTCATGTAAAGAGCCATTATCAATGCAAGGGAAAGAAATAGAGCAAGGGATGAAATTACCTGTAGTAAGAGCAGAATCTTCATGAAAAAGATTCTTGAAGAAAGACAAAGCTATATTTTTGATTTCCTCATAATCATACGTCCACTCACTATTGTCATTTTGAATGGCCTCAATTATATTCCTCTTCCTTCTAGTATTAGCTCAAGCATGAAAGTATTTAGAGTTTCTATCTCCCAAAATAAACCACTCACATTTAGCTTTTTGAGCTGAAAGTAGATTTTCCTGGAGAATAACTTCTTCAAGTTCCTGCCAAAGATTCTTCTGAAGACGCTCAAGAGAAGCCTCATTATAGCATGAATTCACTGAGATATTAAGCCCTTCAATTCTATTGAGAAGATGACGTTTTTTTCTACCAATATGTCCAAAAACATCATGACTCCACTGGTTGACTGCATTAGTAAAGTTAGAAACATTAAGACACCAATCTTCATCTGGCAACCAAATCTTATTAACCAAACTCTCAAAATCATCATGAAGGACCCAAGCTGCATTAAATCTAAAAGGACGGTCTTTAATCTTTCTAGCACAACCTTGACTAGTCAAACGAAGTAATAAGGGACGATGATCTGATTTGAAGAAAGGGAGATGAGTAACAACTGCCTCAGGAAAATAATTGTTAAAACTTTCATTACTCAGCACTCTGTCAATCCTATTCTCACTTCCTGCTCGCTTCCACGTGAAGTAAGGACCCTTACATCCCAAATCTGACAGCTTGAGCTCCTCAACCCAAGAACAGAACTCTTTATTAATACTAGCTCCGGTTTGGTGAGAAGATTTTCTATCATGTAAAAAAAGAGTACTATTAAAGTCGCCTCCGATACACTAAGCCCCAGTTATAAAAAAATTAATTCTTCTCAGTTCTATCCAAAGAGCTCTGCGAAGAATGGGGTTAGGACTAGCATATACAGCTGTAATAAACAATTCATTGCTACCATAACTAAGTTTCGAATGAATAAATTGGTCGTGTTTCTGCAAAATTTCAAACTTCCAAGAAGCATCATTCCATAAAACCCATAAACCACCACTGAATCCTCTAGCATCTACAACTTCAAAATTATGGAAACCCATCGCCTTTGCTAGTCTCTGCGCCCTACTACCACCAGTACGTGTCTCTAGCATGGCAAAAAAATCCACAGAATGTTTTTTTGAAATTTCCTTAACCAGCCCAGGAAATGATTTTGAACCTGTTCCTCTACTATTCCAGAAGACAAAATTCATCAAGACATATTTGAAAAAAAACGAGCTTCAATTGTAACATCCCAATTTAAATTTTAATAGTTAATTTGGATTAATAGAAATTTAAAAAATAATAATAATAATATTTAGAGGTAAGAAAATTAGTAGAAAATGATTATTAAATCTAATTTAGGATATAATTCTAAATAAAAAAAATTAAAACAAATTTATAAAAAAAATTAATTAAAAAAATAATAAAAAATATATTATTAAATTATTATTATAATAAAAAAAGGAAAAGGTATGCAAAAAAAAAGGAAGAAGAAGGAAGAAAACGTGAATGCTTTCGGCCGCCGCATCAATAGTAATATAAAATAATAAAAAAACAGAGAGAGAGAAAAGAAGAAATAATAATAAAAAAAAAGATATGGGACCCACTGAATTTTTATAAAAACTCACCTGTTCCTTCATTTCTTCTTTCGTGCGTGAGCTGAGGCAGAGAGAGCATCTGTGAGCCAAGTTCACAGGTGCTGGGTTTTAAGGTAAGAGTTTTTAATAGGATATTTAGGGTGTGATTTTAAGCTTTTCAAGACTAAGTAAGTGCTCTAAAAATTTTTCTTAGTCATCCTTCTTCTTTAGTTTCTGAGTTTGTAGTGGTAGAAAATTTAAGATATGGAAGAGGGATGAATTTATGTTGAATAAATATGGTTTTTGAGGTTGTCAGTAGTATAATAAATGTTCTAGAGTATAAATTTGTTGATGATCTTTGAATTTGTGGCTTATGGATCAAATTCTAAATTAAATCTGAAAATATATGTTGATTTATTGAGGTTTAGATGATTATTTGGGATGAGAAATGAATTATTATGGTTATAGAATTATGATTCTAAGCTAGAGACTTAATTTTTAATTTTTGAATATTTTAGGTACGAATTTATGAAATAAAAAAAAATTTTGATAATAGAAATTAGTTTAAAATTTGATTTTTAGATTATTAATGTTTATTGATGAGTAAAAGAGGAGTTAAAAATTTTACTTAATAGTACTAACTCTAGATTTGTATTAAGATTAAGATTAGGAATTATGTTATATTTTTAATTCTATTATTAGAATTATTTTATTAGATTCAAAAATTGAAACTAATATTTATAAATAATATGTTATTTGTAGATTGTATTATTGGTGAAGATTGTGGTGAGAGAGAAATTTTAAGAAATAATTTATTGAAAAAGCCACGAGGTAACCATGCTTTTAATTTATGATTAGTGTTACTTCATGTTAATTGGGTGATTATTGAGAAAATTATAAATTTTGTAATATTATATAATTGTGCAATATTATTATAAATTTATTTGATTATTGTGGGAGGTGTTGGGAGACTTGCTATTGTTGTTGTATTTATGTGCCACGTGGTATGCCCCTATTGGAGCTCAATAGGTGGTTTGTAAGGGCTCGGGCTAATCTACCTTTGGTCAGGTAATTTAGCACCGAGTGAGGGCTACGGCTCGAGGTTAATGGAGGGATATAAGGATGGTTGTTTGTGTGTATTGTAATATTTTTTATATTTGTTGGAATTATATTATTTTTAATTCTCACTTAGTAAGCACACACTTAACTGTTTGTATACACAATCATAAATTGGCTTTGGTTACTGGGACTTTTGAGTCTCATTATGTGGTTAACAATTTTCAGGAGAAGAGCCACGAGTGACACGTGGAGGAGTCCCAGAGGCTTAGTGGTATAGATCCACTGTCTCTTTTGAGTATTTAATTTATGATTTATAATGTGTTATATTGCCAATATTAGGACTTTTTTGTTTATTGTCAATTATATGAATATATAAATGTAATCATGCCTTTCAAACTATTTCTATTTTTGGTACAATTTGGATGACTGTAATTTTAATATTTGGTTTACTTTGGATTGGTTAAAATGGCATGATTATAAGGCCAAATAATTGGCTTGTGTTGAAAATTGACTAAATTGCTTATTTTACTTGTTGGGAGTATAAGGATGGACAAATGTAATTTAGTTTACTTGTTGGGAGTATAAGGATGGACAAATGTGATTTAACCTAATGGCATGTGGGAGGTAACAATTTATCCGAAATGTTATAGTGTGTAAGTTGAAACTAATTATAAAATATTTTATATTGAAATTTTTGATATAAAAATGTGTTGGGTGGCTGTAACCCAACTATGGTTGAGTTAAATTATTTAAAAAAAAATTGGTGTGTTACATCAATGCTCAATAAATTATTCCCCTCATTAGAGCCCTCATCATGGTTTTTATCTTCATGCATGACAACTTCTGAAATCGCGTCTATCTCATTGGCTATAACAACTTTGCTTCCTTTACTTTTGAAAGTAGTCTCATCTTTCGTCTTATTCACATAAATCACCTCTTTGTGAGCTTTAGGAAAGAATTCTTTATTTGGGCCCACATGCATCACCATTTGATTGAAATTATTTTCTCCCATTTCTTGAAGCCTATTATCTAATACTTTAAAAGTATTTGAAGTTTTCAAGTCCAAACCGCAATTACCTCTAATCTTCATCACGTGAGATCTGGTTCGATCAGCAGGGGGAATATGTTCTTTTCCTTTGACTTTCCCAATTGTTGATCCCTTACGTTTTGCTCCGACTGGGACCCACTCTGAGTGATTCTTTAATATATTCTCCTTGCTGAAAATCCGGTTTCCTGCTGCCTTCTGATTCTGTCCGCCATGATCGCCTCTTTTACGTTCACCGGTTGCAAATTGCACTCCCTTTTTTTCACCTCCTCCTCTCTCCATATCCTTCAATCTCGCATCTCCATCGTATAATCCCTTCAAATCCGCACTACCATATCTCCAGCGTAACTGACGCTTAATCAGCATCTCCGGTCCGTATCTGTCTCCGGCCACCGTGTTTTCCATCTCTCTAATTTTTTCCTTTACCGGCACTGCATTACTTACAGGGACCTCCTCAGAAATAGCCCGAAACTCATCCCTTTCCTCGCTAGTATACACTTTCTGATCCGCTTCCCTGCTCTTTTCAACTGTATCAGTATTCCCCAGCTTTGAAGGAACAATTTTCTCTGGGCAAACATCCTTATGATGACCATATTTACCGCAATGAAAACACACTAGGTGCAATCCTTCATATCCTATTTTTATATCCTCACCGAAATGCATAAATGAAGGGAGTAAAGGCTGGCTTAAGTCTAACTCAACACAGATTCGTCTAAAGGCCCCCATATCTAAAATAGAGGTTGATAAATCTATCTTCAAGGTCCTTCCAACCATGTTTCCAATACGTCTCAGTGATTCCACATTATATAACTCAACCGGTAAATCCATTATTCTGATCCAAGCTGCAATCCTCCTCTGGGTATCCGCTTTCCAGGGATTAAAATTTGGTCGCCACTTCTGTACTAGGAGGTAATGGTCATCTATCATCCACGGACCTTCTTGATAAGCATAATTGAGATCTTCTTGCTTTGTGAAAGAAACAATAAAATACCCATTACTGAGCGGTGTAATTCTCATTGGTTCATGAATTTTCCACATTCTAACCAACCTTGGCCTAAGATATCTTAATGGGGTAGTTTTACCCATTAATTTAACAATTAAAGAATTTAACCAAGGACGACACTACTGCTCATACTCTGCCTGCGTGAACTTCAATTCTGGTTTCCTATCATGCACGTCCTCTAGAACCTGGCAATCTTCATCAGATAACTCACCATGCTGCTTCTTCTCCTGATCATTACATTTGGCAAAGTATCCTTTCCAACCCTTCAAAAGATCTTCATTGTGCCCGCTACATGATAAAAAACCAGAGGAATTCAAACTGAGTAAAGACTCCCTATACGACTTAGGAGCTTTAAGTTGGACCATCTCTTTCTCCTTACCAATCAAATCCTTATTCACCATGAAAACAAACTGTGGATCACCAATTTGTAACCCACCAGTTTTATCTCCGCCATCTTTCTCGTTTCCACCACCGCTAGCACCTCCCTCACCGCCTCCGGACTCTCCAGGATTACCATGCACTTCACTCTCCATTTTTTGGGTCAGCACACAACAATTTGTGAGAACTATCACTTTGTGCTTATAAAAAGAGGGAAGCCACCATATGAGGCTCTTTCCAATCTCTTCAACAACTCCAATTCTAATCAACTCAAAAACACTCACTATTGGGTGCTTTTTCATCCATGCAAGGCAAAGGTTAATTTATGTCTAAAATTATGAGTTTTTTATTGTTAGGGGTTCGATTGTTTAAAATTGTAACATGAAAATTATTATGAGATGTCTGGTCAACTAAAATAATCTACATATCTATTTTGTTTTTTTAAATATGGTTGAAAGTGATCAATTTCTAAAATCTTCAATTTTTTAGTAATTAGAGATGTCCAGTTAATTAAAATATTTACATATCTTCTTTTTTTTTTTATTGAAAAGATGATTCATTCAAAGCTCAAAGCGTAGGAGATGAAGAAAGATTTAAAAGATCATTTGTCTCCTCTTCCTTCTCTTCCCAAATAAAGGAAGGAGGATGATTAAAGAAATGATTCTCTAAAGTAAGTGTCTAAGCGAACTTAGTTAATACACCAGCATATTTGACAAAATCTATAGGCATGTAAATAATATTTGCAAACCAACTTCTTCCTAGAATCAATATAACTTCCTATGTAATATCCCAATAGATGTAGTTGTATGGAGAGTCTCTTAAGATCATACTTGTAGTATTGGCATAATTTGATATTATGTTATCCTAATCTCAAGTTTCTAGCTGTAATGTAATCCTATAGTGATGGCTTTTACTTTTGCAGTGGTTGGTGGTAAAGATTCGATCTTTGAATAAAAACCTAAGATCCATCTTTCATTTTGTTGTTTGATAACTTCACCAATAACACTTCCTCACTCTTGTAGGTAAGAGCTGTTTGTTTCTAAAGTGAAAGACCTATCATCCTATAGGTAATGGTGGTTTCGTGAATTACTACTTCTTTTTTTTAATATCATGCTTTGTTTTATTCTAAGATCCTGTAATGCCTTGAAATAGACATTGTATGTGCTCTCCCCCCATCATTTCCTTTCCCTCCAAACACTCTTTTACATCTATTAATCTATATAACCTAACAAACATAAAAAAAAAAGGCAACTCCATGAAAGGGACCTATATTGGGTTTACCCAATTCTTTGCTGAGATTCCACTTCACTCACTCATGACCTTTTAGTTGACTAAACTTGTCCTAAAACTCAAGCGAAACAAAATCAAACCATTTAGTTTTGACCTGATTATAATCTTGAAGTAGGTGCACAAGTGCTTTTTAAATGGGGAATGTATATGAAGACAACCGTAGAGTCTAATCCTTGGGCCAAACCCTCGTGTAGGTCCTCTCTGGTGAATGAATAAGAGTGGCAAAACGCATCATTTTAACATAATGCAACACAGCCTTTCCAACTTAATGTAGAGCACCATTTTTTTCCTTTCAAGCTCTACCGCTTGACCTTGACTTGCTACCTCTTAAGATCCTAAGGCCCTGTTTGGTACATGGAACTGAAAGCTAGGGATTAAGATTAGGATTAAGAAAACCCAACTTTTTATATTTGGTATGAATCATTGAGCAATCTAAACCCGATTCCAATCTCGCCTTATATGGGATTGTTCAATACCACCTACTTCCTGGGTTTGCAAAATCATTCCTGAGACTAGAAATATTTAAACCAAATTGCCCTCACCCATCTCTCTCTCTCTCTCTCCCCCCTCTTCTCTTCCTTTCGTGCAATCCAATTTGTACGCTCTGTCCAGCTGCCACGAAATCCTCCTCTCAAGCTTCGATCTGTATGTTGCCTCAACGCTTTGATCTGTTCTAAGGAGGCGAAGCAGGAAATTATAGGGGAGGAAGAGATGTAGGTGAAAGAGCAAAAATCAAAGTCAGAGAAACACAGAACATTGACGAAGGAGGAAATGGAGGAAGAGGAAAGTCAGAGCCAGAGACGTCATCAAATTCTTCCAGATCTGCCTCATTCGAACCTAAAATTGAAGCTGCGCTGCCATTGTGATCTGCCACATTTGACTTCTTCCAAACCTCACGAGTTAGGTTAATTTTTTTTAAATATAAAGAGTATTTTATAGTCTATTCATAATTTATATTTAATTATAAAATAAAATCAAAATTAATATTTTCTACACATATTATTCCATATTAAACATAAATTTAAAATTTTATTTTTACTCTCATTCCCGTTACCAATACCAACATTAATCTCAATCTCAATTCCTTTAAACTAAAGCCTACGAACCAAGTAGGGCCTAAAATCACGAATCCTTGCCGCTTTGGACGAAAAAACTCCTATTTTCCAGGCCTCGAAAATTCTGAGAGATGATGGTCTACTTTGTTTTGGTGGTGAATGGGGGAGTGGGTTGCAGGTCAGACGCTATTTGATCTTGGGGCCCGACTTCACAATTTTACTTTTCATTCTTTTGATCTCTGTCTGAAGGTCGGATGACACTTCCTTTGCTTAATAATTATTGAGAAAGTTCACTATTAAATTCCCTCAAGTGGTTATAAAATATATCTTTGGTTTGTGTGGTAACCCTTCGTTGATGGCCGATGCGAAGTCTTGGAGAATAGCGATAAGTCTTGGAGAATAGCGATATTGTTCGCTTCAATCTGAACCTTTCTGTCTCAATCCCGGTTAGAAACTCCTGAAGATGCTTTTGTATTGACAGGGGACGCTTCTTTTTTCTAATTTAAGTATTTAGCACTGTGTATGTGATTCTACCGAGCTTTGTTTCCTTTAACATTTTACTAGTTTCACAAGCTTGTCGCCAGGGGATGTCATGGATACTAAGGACGTATCTTCCGATCAAGTCATTGCAGAAATGCTTGAAATGGGGTTTGAATATGCCAATGTTGTGGAAGCTTTGAAAGCAGCAGGTCCATCTATTCATAGTGCTCTGGAGTTTATCCTGAACAATGCTGGTAGAAATTGCGGTAGAACATCTCTTGCTAGTATTAATAACTCCAAATTTTATGCGCGCAACGAGAAGGGTTTCAGAAAAAGGGACTCGACCTCGGCCTCGTCCCATTCCTTAAGTTATGTTCGACAGTCTAGCATCCTGGACCATCTCCAATCCGCCAATGAATCCACAAAAAGCAAGACAGATATTGTGCTTGGTGTACCATCTAGTGGGTTGGAAGTTCCTCCAGACAATGTGGAAGAGCTCAAGGAGCCTTTCTCTGACATGGATGTTGATTCCAATATCTTGTCAGGAAATTGTAAGGCTGATTCCCTGGATGAGCTGGAGAGTTCATCAGATTGGGAGCAGAAAGCTAGCAATCTCTTGCAAAAGCATTTTGGCTTTTCATGCTTAAAGAGTTTTCAAAAGGAAGCCTTGACTGCTTGGGTAACTCATAAAGATTGCCTTGTCCTGGCTGCAACAGGATCTGGTACCATTCTTCGACTTTACTTGTCTCAACTCCGTTGCTTCTGTGCTTCTGTTCATGATTACATTTTGGCAGGAAAGTCCTTGTGCTTTCAGATCCCTGCATTGCTATCTGGGAAGGTGGTGGTTGTGATTTCACCCTTAATAAGCCTGATGCATGATCAATGCTTAAAGCTATCAAGACACGGGATCAGCGCTTGCTTTCTTGGATCTGGGCAACCTGACAATACAGTTGAACATAAGGCAATGAGAGGCATGTATAGTATAATATATGTATGCCCAGAGACAGTTCTAAGGTAAGATTAGGGGTGTATACTTTATGATATTTTCAAGTCACATTTATTATTCTTTTTTCTTGGTTAAAAAATCATTCTTCTTTAAATGTCTGATAACTGCAATTTAATCACATGTAGATTGATTAAACCACTACAGAAGCTTGCAAAAAGCCATGGTATTGCCTTATTCGCAATTGATGAAGTACACTGCGTTTCTAAATGGGGCCATGATTTCCGGCCAGACTATAGGTCTGTATTTTCCCTTCTATTCCACATTGTTCAATAATTGCACAGAGCATCCCAAGTGATCATAAGGCATTGTTTATGTATTTAATGAATCGAGAGCTGTTGTGATTTAATCACTCATATGATTGATCATTCTATTATTATATTTTGCAATAAGATATGGTTTATGTTCCTCATTTAGTGTATATTTTGTAACCCTTTAATTGTCTTTACTACAACATTTACTTCTATTCTTTAGATTAAATGTTCTCTTGTTTCAGACGACTGTCTGCATTAAGGGAAAACTTCGGTACTAGCAAACTAGAATTCCTAGAATTCGATATACCTCTGATGGCTTTGACTGCTACAGCTACCAACCTGGTTCGAGAGGATGTTTTAAAGTCGCTACACATGTCAAAAAAAACAAAGATTGTTCTCACTTCCTTTTTCCGGCCTAATTTACGGTTCATTGTGAGTTTGCTGTCTAAAACATGTTTATTTATCCCTGCTTATCATGGCCCAAAAAAAAAAAAAAAAAGACTCTGCTTATAGCTTGTTCTTGTTACTCCATAATATTTCAGTCTTTATGGCTCCATACAGGTAAGGCATAGTAAGACATTTTCAACTTCTTATGGGACAGATTTTCATGAGCTAGTTGAACTATATGGTAAAAAGCAAAAGTCAGATGACAAGGAAAAAGCTTTTATCTTAAAGGAATCACCAGATGTTTTCATTAACTCTGATGCTGGTAGAATCTCTGAGGTTGACTGTCTTTCCCCTTGTGATTTGGATGGCGACCAAGATGATTACAGTGAAGGAGATATTAGTGTATTGCATTCAAGATGCACTAATGGTGCTATAAATGGAAGAGAATTGTCAGTTGAATACCTGGAAAACGACATTGAAGTCTTTCAAAGTGTGGATGACTGGGATGGTACTAATGTGTCTGCTATTTCTTACTTAATAAGCGTTATGGTCTACACTAGGAGGGTAGAAACCTTCAACAATTTCTGTGCGGAAGTGGTAAAACATCAATCTTATTAAATGATAGTGATTATAAATTGTTTCTTGATCACTTGTGTTACGTGTACTTGCAGTTGCCTGTGGTGAATTCTGTGGACAACCTCCTCAAAACGAATGGGAGTTATCTGAGATCGTTGATCCACCCAAGAAATCAGAAGGAAGACTTAGACTTATTAAAGAGCCGTTAGAGCAAGGACCAACTATCATATATGTTCCCACAAGAAAAGAAACACTGAAGATTGCAAAGTATCTATGTGAATTTGGTGTGAAGGCTGCTGCTTATAATGCATCGGTATGGGTTATATATGTTACATTTAATCTTCTTTGATTCGATGAACTTTCCAGATTGTAAATTAGGGGAGGCATGCGTTGCATGTGTTTATAGTTCATGGCAGAGGAAAGGTTGTATAGCTCGAATACTTCCAATGTGAGCCTTCTGTAGTCTTGATTTAACAAAGAGAGAAGACAAACTAATGTTACTTCCTCTGGTCTTATAACTCACTTCTAATTAATTTACTTAGACCAGTAAAGTTGGTTAAATTTAGTTGATGTTCTTAAAATTATCCCATCTTTCTAATATTACCCTTAATTATCTGCAATAAATTCTAACCCAATCTTACTCACCTCTTCTAATCCCTTTCTCAAACAGCAATATACTTATTAATACCAAAGGCATTATTGGAAAAAGTTAATTGCTTCATAGATGTTGTAAATTGACTTATAAATAGGACCATGAAAAGTTTTTAGAAGATGACCTATAAATAGGATCTGAGGGAGTACATTCTAACTTCTCCATAGGTGGAGGCATTTAAAATTAATGCACCAGGCTTGTTACAAAATATGCAACCCTTGAGCTTGAAATGACTTTTATAAAATCTAATTGAAGAGGAAAAATGCTCCTGAGAGAAACCAATTGATCAAGCTCTTTGATGACAAACTTCTATGAGCTTCATGTTCACTCTTGATACAAAAAGCAGCCAATAGATGACCTTGAGTTACATATATTAATAGTAGAGAAAAGGTTTTGTAGCTCGAGATGCAACCAAAAACTTATACAGTCTAAGTAAACAGAGAAGAATGACCAACTAGTTATAGTCTAACGCTTATTAAACCCAAGAGAAAGATGGTGAGAAGTGAGCAGGCTCCCTCTTGGTGCCGCTGGCTGTTACGTAAAAAGACAGCGTAAGGTTTAGTAAAATCTTTTGGCCTCCTTTATGGGTTTGTTTTCTTGTTGGGCTAAGTTTAAAATTTTATGAGTCTGTCATGTCAATTTACTGGAAACATTTCGATTGGCAGCATAACCTATGTGCTCTACCACGAATTACATTTTTTATGGATTGTCTAAAACAGAAAAATTTAAAAAGTACCTTTTAGCATGCTTTCTGCTTTTGGTTTTGAATATGTTATTATACACTATTGTGGATTCTAAATTAGCACGTCACTTGTGAAACTATGCCACTTGTTTGGTATTAAATTGATTTGTGAGCTCAATTTCTTTCTTCAGCTGCCCAAATCACATCTAAGAAGGGTACACAAGGATTTTCATGAAAACACATTAGAGGTATGGCTCTACAACAAGCATGTCTTTTGTTTCTTGGTAATTGTTTTTTACCGTTGCTTGAGTTATTCAATTATAAAACGTGGACCCCATTTTCACATATTCACTGTGTGTGCTTCGTTTTGTTGTCCACTGTTTTCTAAATTCTAAATACATAAGAAAAAATTGAGTCTTTTTCCTAAGGGCTCTGGTGGTATTCTTAAGACATAGCTCTGACTTGTTTTTACACGTGTCCCTGTGTTGTATGTGTATTTATCATAATTTAAATCCTTTTTTTTTCATTCCACAGAACTGTATTGATGCTTGTAAAGTGACAAAATACACATGCTTTATCATTTCAGGTTGTTGTTGCAACAGTGGCTTTTGGAATGGGGATTGACAAATTGAATGTGAGAAGAATCATCCATTATGGTTGGCCACAGGTCTGTCCTCTGTCCTCCCCCCCCCCCTCTCGACTTAGATTGGCATGCACTAATGGCCTGAGATTACAAGCGGGAATGAATTCATCACCTCCCACTTATAGAAAAGTTTGCATGCCACTTGGTTACAAGGCCATTGATGTCCTTTGTCTTCTCTAATACTTGGAGTCTATCTGTATTTCCTTGTGCATTAAGGCACCTTGACCTGGCCTATGTGGCATGTAACATATTAAGTATGCTTGGTATTTTCACTCACTGAATCTTCATTTTCTTTAATTCACTCCTATATCATTAGTTAATTTAATATGATCAGAGCTTAGAGGCCTACTACCAAGAAGCTGGCCGGGCTGGACGAGATGGAAAATTAGCAGATTGCAGTAAGCTCAATTACAGCTCCCATTAATATGCTTCATCACCTTGGATGCAGATTCACTTTGCTGTTCTTTGTTATCTGGATTTTGGCAAAAGTTTTACACTCTTTACTTTGTCTCTATTATTTCACAACCAGTTCTTTATGCAAACCTATCAAGGGAACCATCACTTTTGCCCAGCCATAGAAGTGAAGAGCAGTTAAAACATGCCTATGTCATGTTGTCTGATTGTTTCAGGTTTGAATTGGTGAACATATCTTTTTACACTTGTCTTGTTGCATTAGCATTTACCAGAAAAATATTTCATTGAATTTGCAGATATGGAATGAATACTTCATCTTGTAGAGCAGAGACGCTGGTTAAGTACTTTGGAGAGGATTTCCATAATCAAAAGTGTCTCATGTATGCCCACTTTGTCTCCACCATTATGAAATCTTCCAGAATTCCATTAAAATACTGCTATGCTATGAAATATATTAGCAGAAATCCTGTATGCATATTAAAGTTGCCAATTCATGTGACTTGATAAATAAGGGCTATATGCCTAATCTAATCTTTTCTTAACACTCTGGCTTTTATAGTCTTATGGTGATATTAATTTAGTGATCCATTTAAACCTTTGTATTTTGGCATTTTCTAACAAACACGTTGTGATACAGATGTGATGTGTGTGTCGATGGACCACCTCAAATGCAAAATCTGAGAGAGGAGGCATGTACTTTACTACAAGCTGTAGCTGAACATTGTGTATGTACATTAATTGGATTTGTATACCTATTACACTAGTCATAAATTCTGGTTTGCACAGGAAATTGGATCATGGTAGTACTGGTAACTCAGTATATATCAGCCAGGCATGCCTCAGCCTTCTTTATCTGTGTTTTTCCCTTTGGTTAAATTTCAATTGGACATGGTGCCGAATTGCTTTGTTTTGTGCGGTTTCTCAAGTCGCTGCTAAGGATTTAGTTTTATGGAACTTTTTTCTTTGCTTCCAAAGCCTGAGTGATATGAAGTTCACATGGTCTGGTGATTGGATATTATACTTTGAGGAATGGAGCTAATAATGTTGCTTTTTCAGGGACAAAGCTCTGATGTGGATGGCATATGCGATGACAATGTACATTCTGATCCCAAAAAAAGGAGAATTGAAGGGAGGCTTAGTCTTAATTTGGTTGTTAGGAAGATAAGGGAGCAAGTCTCTCTCTCTCTCTCTCTCTCTCTCTCTCTGTGGTAATCTTGTTTTATCTGGTTAAACAATGTAAGAGTTTTAACTTTTAATTGTTTCATATGCTTGTTATTTACAGTCTCAAAATTTTCTTGTCACTGATATGTTTTGGTGGAGAGGTCTTGCTCGAGTTATGGAACGACAGGGATACATCAGGGAGGGAGATGAGAAGGTATATCTTATTTCAGCTTGAAAAATGTCTTCCCCATGTATTCATACTACTAGATCATGTTTCTGAACTTTGCGGCTGATTGCCATAGTTCTTGGTATTGATATAAAAACCGATAGTTTTTTTTTTTTTTTTTTTTAAATAAGACAGTTCCCCCCCCCAACCAAAAAAAAAAAAGTGCTGTGAGTATTGATTGACAAAGTGGAAGCGACTTTCTGCTCCGACACCATAACACAAACTGAGAAAATTGGAGAAAAAGGGTAAGATCTGTGTTATTACTCTGAAACTGTATATATACAAGTGGGACCTACCTAACTAGGATGACAATCCAATAAAATCCAGTTATTTACAACTGTTACTGTGACTGTGAGTGATCGCTGAAGGAGGTAATTTATTGTGATGCCACGAAAGCATTCAAATGGAGCTCTGCACTTAAGCTAGGCAAATTTTCAAAATGCGATGCGAAAATTAATTGCATATCTGGCCTACAATACATGTGTGATATGATATTCATGCACTCTGGCTGACTATTTTCAAGTATTGGTTAGTTTTGATGTTTTATTACCTGTGATGAGGTTTTAACTGTATCACCCTATACGACCACAGAGCCATGTGCAGATAAGGTACCCGGAACCAACAGAATTGGGGTTGAAGTTCGTGTCAGATGGTGAACAAGCTTTCTATGCTTACCCTGAGGCTGATATGCTGCTTGCGGCGAAAAGCAGCAATAGCAAACCATACTCCTCATTCTCGGATTGGGGAAAAGGCTGGGCAGATCCTGAGATTCGTCGCCAGCGGCTCCAAAGAATGCAACTCGATGGGAAGCCAGCGGTGCTGCCAGGTCCCAGAAAATCACGCAAGAGAAATGCTGTTAGAGTGAAGCCTGATCTGAGGACTTGTCGCGGGAGACTAGCTGCAAAACTCTCAAGACATACATGATTTCAAGATTTGTTCAGGTTTATCCTTAAGTCGATTTATCCATCTTGACCTGGATTTTCGTAAGAGAGAAATTTGGTCAGATTCTTGTGCATGGTCATCGACTGTACTGATGCTGTGGCAAACCAATCCTTAAGTTCCGTTGTCATGTTAACTTGTCAGTGTCTCAATTTTAAATTTCTTTTTTATAATTCATATTTTTAGAGTTAAAACATATTTTTAATCCTTTAATTTTATATAAGGTTTCAATTTAATTTTTTAATTTTATAAAATATTTTTTTTAATTCGTTAAACCTAATATTATTAGTTTCAAATGATTATTTTTTGAATCAATAATTGTTGTTTTGAAAAAAAATTAAAACTTTAATATCTCAATGTTTGAACATATTTTTTCAATTTTTAAAAATTCAATGTAAAAATTTATTGGTATAAAATTAATGATGTTAGAGTTAAAGAATTAAAAAGACACTTGATAAAGTTAAAAAATTAAAATAAAATGTGTAAAATTAAAAAATTAAATTTATATTTTAATTTTTTTTTAGTCTCAGTATCTTTTTTTTTTAAGGCAAAGATTTATTCTTTGCAAAATTTATGTGACATGATATCAATAAAATTCGTTTTGTATCAAAAGTACCATCGACTCAGGCAAGGATTGGGGTTAATTTTAAATAAATTTTCCGGGCCATAATTTATTGACATTTGAAATTCCTCATAAATGATGCACTAGTGACAAAATACAATGCCTCAAGGGCATTTGTACAAGAGAGGAGACTCTCCTTTTCTCTCCACTTCCTCATCCCCATCTTTTATATTATTTTATTAAATAATTTTTTTTAAAAAGATAGAATTAATGAAAGGTGGAGATGGCAGAAGTGGAGAGAAAAGGAGAGTCCCTCTTCCCCACTTATACCATATAAACGCATGGATGATATAGGGACTGTTTTATCTTGCATTTCTAAGATTTCATAATTTGGTTGATGAGTAAAGTTTGTCTTTAAAAAATATAGGGTAAAGGTGTAAATTTAACCATATATTATTTTTCGAGGAGCATCCAATACCTTAAATTATCAAATAGTGTAAAATAAATCATGAACTTTTAAAAATGAAATAACCAGTAGTTCACTGTTAACTTCAACTGACAGACGTTATGTGGGGTCTATAATGACACAAGACACGATATGTCAGCATGGTAAAGATATAAATTTAGCCATAAATTATTTTTCGAGAAGCACTGGGTAGCTTCTACTATAAAAGAACAGACCATCCAATACCTTTCTCGTAATTTGATCAAACACTATTTATTTTCATACTTATGAGTTTTACAAAGCTTTAATCTCTCAAATCTTCTTGCCTTTATTATCAATTTTAGCTCGAGAAGAAGAGGTTTAAAGAGTTTTTATTTGAAGACATTCACGAAGATAACGTTAACAAAGTAGAAGAAATAATTTATGGTTAAATTAAGCTAGAATCAAGCTTCTCCAATGCATAGTAAAATCAATCTTCTACTTCATTGGCATCGTCTTTGTGAATGTCTTCAGATACAAACTCTTTGAACCTCTTCTTCTTGAACTAATATTAAAAATGAAGGCAAAAAGATTGGAAAGATTAATACTTTGTGGACCTCACAAGTATGAAAATAAATGGTGTTTGGTCAAAATTAAAAGAAAGGTATTGGATGGTTCTTTTTTTTTTATAGCAGAGGCTACCCAATATTCCTCAAAAAATAATTTGTAGCTAAATTTGCATCTTTATCATTCTGACATGTTTTGCCACATGTCATTGTAGGCCTCACATAACGTCTGTCAGCTAAAGTTAACGGCGGGCTATTGGATGTTCTATTTTTGAAAGTTCGTGATTTATTTTATATCTAATAGTTTAAACTATCAAATGCTCCTCAAAAAATAGTATATAGTTAAATTTATTACTTTGCCCAAAAATATAAGTGGAATTTTCGTGAAAATAAACAAATTTAAATTTAAATTATAAGAATAAGAGTAGGAGATAGTATTACTGACAGTCCTACAAGATTGCAAAATATTAAGGGCTCATTTGTTACGCAACATTCAATGGTTGGTACCGGGATAAGGTCAAAGCAATCCCACCTTTCACATATTTGTTATGAGGCATTCACCAATACTTGGGATTACTCAATCCTACTTAGGTGAGAATGCTGAAACTCACTACTTCCTAGTATTGATTAGTCCCACTAAAATTAATCTTAGGTTGATTACTTTCGTACCAAAATGCCCCCATCTCTCGTCTCTTCCTCATCTCTCTCCCTCTGCCTTTCACTTAAGCATCTTCATCTCACCTCTCACCCTCTGCCTTCCTCTCAATCACGTGCCGACCCTGATGCTAGCCTCTCCTCTGCTGACGCCACCTAAAAAATCAAGATTAAAGATGAGATCTAGAGGAGATCGAAATGAGATATGACCCCTCCTCCACAAATGCCATGGGTTTCTTCCTTGAGGAGGTGACAAGGAAGAGAGAAGAGATGCGATGCAAGTCATTCTTGCCAACATCATCATCGCAAGTCATCTCCCTCAAGATGTCCCCATCATTTCTACATCTCATCTCTCTCTAAATCACAAGTCATCTCCCTTGAGGATGCGACTTTAGTCATTATTTGATCTAGTTCAAGTTGTTGTTGTGTGTATGAGATTGAGAATGCCTAGATTCTAGCTTGTGGCTGAACTTGTGAAAACGAAACACTTTCTTAAAGTCCCAAATCTAAGTTTAAGACTGCATTTTTTTTCCAGTAAGGGTCATTATTGTCTCTTGACAATTTTTGATTGATTAGAGGATAAAATTATTACAAATATTTCCTCTAAATATTACTCCTTACCAAACCTACTTTTAAAACTTCAATCCCAACTCTAATCCCTATACTAGTATCAATCCCAATCTCAATCCATTTTAATTGAGACTTATGTATCAAACAGGGCCTTAGAATGAGAGGTTCAAATAATCCAAAAACTCCAACAAAATCAAAATAAAGTTACACTCAATTTGTCGATAATTTGATCCTGTGAACATACCATACACTCTAATTCTAATCTACCTGAATGGAGCCAGGGGATTTGGGGTGCGGGGTGCTTGGGACCTTCTCAGTTCTTTACATACATTATCCAACATGCCCATAAAGTCTCTTACAATCACAAATATCCGAAGTGGGCTTGCGTCTTCTTTGCTCACATCCCCATGAAAATACTCCGTGATTTCCTTCACACGAGCTAGCACTCTATCTTCATCGCCTTGCAGGACCCTCAGATTTCTCTCCGCATAATTTAGAAAAGCCTTCATCGAATTCACAAAGTTCTCACTCTTTTCATCCGTCTGTAACTCTTGTACCAGATATTGCAACTTAGCCATTCCGTCTTTGAGGTTCGAGGCAGACCTAGCAAGAACGTCCAAGTCGATTGTTGCTGTCTTCTTTACGTTGTATAACTCGGTACTCAGGCCAGAAACAAGTTCCAATCCCATTCTTCTGTAATCATCTTCCTTCTCTTCTTCTGTCCTGTTCTTATTTTTCTGGCTGATTTTCCCCATGATGCTATCCGAAACTCTGATTCCTTCTGATCGAACAATCTCCTGAACAACAAAATGGAGTAACGTGGTTTTCCCATCAGTTCCCTTGACATCAGCTAGCTTGAGAAGGGCATCGAGCTTGAATGCTCGGGCACCTCCCCTTATTGTCCCAACGTTCATACGGTTTCCTGTTTTCAGCACAGCTTCAAGCAATTTCAAGAAGAGCCTACTTGATCTTAGTTCCTTGCACGCCTCCTGTTTGGATAAAAGCCGAAGAGAGAAATAGAAAGTCAGCAACCTTTAATGAGAAAAGTTTAATTTGAAGTTTGACTTGATAATTTTAATAATTACCTCAAGCATTGAAAAAGAGTTCCTGAGGTGGACAATCTCGTCCTCAAAGGTTTCTCTGTAAAGCATGGCTTCAACACGTTGAAAGGCAAAGGGTATGCTCAGCATTGCTCTCACAAACTTTTCCGCGGATCCCAAATCATTGACCTCTCCTTTATAATTCGAGAGCTTATCCTCTTCTTCCTTAGTGGGTACCATCTTGACCAGTGCCTCTAGTTGTTGTAAAGTGAGGCCCTTACCTGTTTTTTAATCAGTTGATGAGATCTTCAATTTCAGAAGCATTAATTTCATGATTGCCATCAGTAAATGTTGTAAATCCACATGCGTGCTATTATGATTTCAAAAGTGGGTGAGGTGATTTACTTATTAGTCAGATGATTCAGACCATTGCTGATTATTGTATAATATTAAGCGCCATATCCTTCAACTCCCAGCATGGAGCAAATTATCACTTTATTACTTGCGCACCCCATTGCTGGCAGAGACTTGAAGATTTTGGAATTTGGAACTTATAAAGAAAAGAACTTCTTTTATTATGGCAAATGATTACAGTTTAGTAACAGTGCGCTAGCATTATTACCTTGTATTAGAGTTTCACATACTTGTTCAGCCGTCACATTGAGAGCTTTTGAGAGAATTGTTATGTTCTGCAGCCTCTTTGGCTCGAGAAGATGTTTGCTTGGAGAAGGGGTTTTGCTTTTTGTCTCATCGTTCTTCATTGAATTGTGCAAATTGTAGCCAAAAAGTGACTCGATCATTTCCTCATCAAACCTGGTTCAAATTCATTATTCGATGAAACTGAGGATTAAAAGAAAAAAAAATAACAATTACCGTTATTAACGAATGAAGAACTTACTCAAACGAGCTTGATCGCAGCTTGTCCCAAACCATTGTGCGATCTGGGGCAGCTCTAACTTTGTCCCAGTGAAGTGGTTTGAGTTTCGGTAAGGGGGCTCCATCTTTTCCCAGAGGTGTAAACTGGGGAAGCTGGGACGGCGGAGGAGGTGGAGTTTTCACATTGTTGTTATTGCCTTTGAAGGGCGGTGGTGGAGGAATGGTAGGTGGGGATCTTGCAGGGTGAGATTGAGGAGCAGAAGGCGACTCATTTTCTCCACTTCGATTCAGTGCTGAGTCAGAATCCGAGTTCTTTGAAGATGAACGTGGAGAGCCGTAGGGAATTCTAGACGAAGAAGTGAGAGAATGCAAAGAAAACAAGGACACGTGTAGAGTCGGGGGTGGCGGCGGCGGGGGTGGCGTGGAGGCTTGTGGACACTGTGAACAAACTTCAATCTTTTGCTCTTCCTGCTTTGTAATGCACGGTGATGGAGGAGATTCTAACTTCGAAGTTGAAGTTTGGCGCGAATGAGGAATTTCCTTTGTCAATGGAATTGGCGAACTGATAGGATTAGACTGAGTTGCTCGAGGCGACGGAGACACTGTCTCAGTCACACTGCCCGCTGAAGCATCGGAAAGTCTAACATTCGACGAGTGGGAATCGGCGAAGGAATGAAAACTTTCAGTCTCTGATGAATGGCGTTCCATGGTAACAATTTTATCTCCACCATCATCAGATTCGGGTTCATGTTTCCCCGATTCGGCGTCCTCCTGAACAGATAGAATTTCCTTTGTGGAAGAACTGCTGGCATTATCATATCCTGAGCTAATCATTTCTTGATTTAATTCCATCTTCTCGTAAATTGCACATTTTGGGATGGAGCTATGATCTGAGCTTGTATTTACTGTTTCGCAAGTTTGTTTCAAGCTGCAAGTGTGTCGCTCTACATCCTCGCCCAAAGAATTCAGGTAAAACGGATCTAGGGCAGTGTTCAGACCCACCTGACTGGACGAGTTTTCATAAGTACCTCCGCTTCCACCGTTCTTGCTACAGAGCGGCATTGTCCTTTTGGGTTTCCTTGCATGCTTTCTGCATTTTCTGAAAAACCAGATAAGCCCGAGAGCGCAAATCACTGTAGCAACCCCTGCAGACACAAGAGCACCTACTAGTATTGCCTGAATTCTGCCTCTATCTTTATGTTGCAACTTGTGAGCGGGCGGATTAAAATGGGAACGATGTCGTGGAGGAAAGGGATGAGCATATACGTGCGGTAACGGAAGATTAGATGGAGAAGGCGATGGAGATGGAGATGGAGCCTCGAGATCAATGTTAGGCGAAGGAGAAGGCGATGGAGAGAGAAAGCCAGAATCGCCATTGGACGGCCTTCTGGCGTGGACACTGTTGAGTCCGAGCAAAACTCTGAACTTTTCCATTATCAGGGGCCCCTTCTCATCATTCTCATCTTGTCCAGAGACTTTCTTGATCTGGTTGTCATTTTCTTGTCCATTCTCAGACAGGACGTGGATGTGGAAGTTTCCTGCTGGGTGGAACAGAGTATCCAAAGACAAAATGCGAGTTCTTTGAAAAGATAGGAGCATCAAGAGGAGGAGGATGAAAATGGAGCTTAGCGCCTTAGAAGCAGAACCCATTTTTGGTGCAAACAAAAGTCATCAAGACATGAATGCAAATTTTGTGTTTATGAAATCTGCTTTCCCTTTTGTTGCATCGGATTTTCAAGGGAGGTGCTGGCAGCCGGTTGTGTGAGGAAGATCCAGAACAGTGTCTTTAATGCTACTCCAAGGAACCCCTGAACTTGGCAGTTGTAGTTTTGCAGGGCCTTCTTTACTTCTTTTTTTTTTTGTTTGACGAGAGGGCCTTCTTTACTTCACCTGCTTCAAAATTCCTTCTCTCTCTCTTTCCCTGCAAAAACACTGTTTAATGCGTAATACAGTTTTGGAAAAATATTTCCCTCCTCCTGCTTCGCTGCTTGATTTGTTTCCTTTGTCTTTTATGCGTTTTTTGGCCATTTGTCAGATAAAAAGTTAGGCTCCTTCTCGGCTTCTCCCGCCCAACGTGATCAAATAGACAATTACCCCAACGCACACTGTTCCTTTTAGTGTTGGGTTGAGGATTCAAAAGCTTTTGTTACATAAGATTTGAGTCGTGGTCTTTGCGGTTGAATATTGCACTTATGGAAGCTAAAAGTGATATAACATTGCTCTAGGCCAAGAGAGGAGTGAGTGGGCCCCTTTTTGTTAGGGCCTTCCCAACCATCGACTGGTGATTGTACAGAGAAATCTCCAACCCCACAATGATGAAAGAAAGATGGAGACGGAGAGGGAACAAACAGTCCATCCCCTTCTCATGTGACCTTGTTTGGCAGTGCAACTGAAAAAGTGTGGCATTAACATATATTAATCAGAGGCAGCTGCAGAATCTTGATTGTGTCATTATGAAGGGCTAAAAAGGTTTTAGTCTTTTTCCAACATTTGGTTAAAAGGTTTTACTTTCTATTGCTTGTTCTTTCGTTGTCTTGTGGTCCGAAATATGGCATCCATGATTTGGTAAGAATGATGTTGAATTTTGGCCCTTGGGGGAAAGGCTGTGTCCCTTCTCCAGTGTCCACACCTATGACCTAACCCACCCGAACACGCTCTCACGCGCCTTAAGTAAAGACACGGAAAAGCGGCTTGGTCGCATTCGCATTACTTATTTCATGAGCTTAGATTCCTTAACTGAGTCCATTAATTTAAGAAAAACAAAAGTGACGTGTCCTTCCTTCTTTTGGCAAGGGATTAATTCCCTCCACCAATTTCATGATGTATATTCTTTAACCATGCACATTATTTCATGCTTTAGACCGAAGGAGCCTCGGGTTGTGAAGTGTTCCACAAAGAGTTCGTTTGCTTTTCCTCCATTTTACGTTGAGAAATTAAAATTTAACTTTTAAAAAGTTAAAAATTATTTAGTTAGAAAATACATTCAACTAGTAATTGAAAATAAATTTTTAAAACGTAATTATTTAAAATTTTTAAAAAGTGAATTTAAAAAGTAGGATGTTATTTAACCATACTACCCCAAGTTTAATCTCTTATTCTTTTATTTAAAAAATAATTAATTCATTAAAATATAATTATTATTTTAATAATAATAATTAAGTATCAATTTTTTTAGTATTAGGAATTGAGTAATTAATTATATTAATTTTTAACATTAATGCACAATAAAAATTACAAATCTTTATTACATCTTTTAAAATTATAAATTAAAAAATACAAATAATTAGAGATCAAATTTTTAGCATTATAAATCACAATTTATGTTATTTAAAATATTTATTATATTTTTTAAATATTTTAAATATATTATATTTGTATAATAAAAATTATAAATCATTATAAATTAATATCTTTTTTGATAATTGTACATTCAAAAGGACATTTTACTATCACAAACTAAATAATTTTTAATGTATTAAACTGACTTTTAAAAAAATATATTTAAATATAAATTTCGTTATAACAACTGACTTTTACTAAGTTAATTTTTATCAAATGGACTTTTACCAAATAAACTTTTGACAAACTAAAAATTAAACGCACATAAAATTTAATTTATGAATACCATGATCCATTTTAAATTCGATATATTTGCGTGTAAAAATTAATTATTTAATCCTCATAATTTTAATTAAATTATAATTTAATTTTTAAAGTTTAACTCATTGTAAATTAGTTATTATAATTTTGACTTGATTATAACTCAATATCTAAACTTTAACATTTATAATTTAATACTTGCTGTTTTAACAATTTAAATATTAATCTTTATATTTTAAAAAAATTACAGAAATTAAAATTATGTTAAAATTTAAGACTAAATTTTAAATTATTAAACACTTTTAATTTTTATAAAAAAATTATTTTAAATTTTTATAATTTTATTTTTTAAAGTATGAGGCCAATATAAAAATGGTTAAAAATATAAGAATCAAGTTATAAGAGTCGAAGCTTATAAATTAAGTTACAAGTGAGTTAAAATTATAAAAATAAATTTATAATAAATTAAAATTTAGGAATTGAATTATAATTAAATTAAAATTATAAATATTAAATGATTAATTTTTCATACATACACGCATTAATGGAACCCATTGATTGAAGTTGAAAACAATAACTGATGGGCTAAATCGTGTTTTGGTTAGCCGCGTCTGACAAGGAACTGGGACAAATCCGAAGCCGAGCAAAAAGTATTCGGTTTGTTAGATTCATTTTCTCTTGTTATTATTTTCGGACAGATCACTACTTCATTCATTATGAGATGAATAAAGGGGATTGAATCAAGAGCTATGGGGAGGTGAAGATTTCAAATATAATATTATATAACGTTGCTACCTGTGTGAAGGCATTATCAAAAACAATAAGGGAGATTGAATTAAGAGATTCTCCCAAAATTTTAATTATTATCCAAACATAGCAGTTAAGCTTTTAAAAATTTTAAAAGGCTTCAATTTTTATTGAAACGAGAAACTAATCAAAATTAATGTATACTCTAACTCTTTAAAAGCTTTACTGTTCATTAACAACAGCTATCATAATATTCATTAACTCTTAGTGATTATAAAGAATATCAAAAAACTCATCATGATAGACTAGAAAGTTGACTTTAATCATATTTATAAAAAAAAAAAGTCAACATATGTGTGGATTTTTTAACCCACAAGATATTTCATATAGATTTTGATATTTTTATCTTTTAGAACTCACCCCGATTGTATAAGTATAAGAATTCATGAGTAGATCTTAATTTATTTTACATAATTTTCAGTGGTCTTATATTTAAAAAAATGAAATTATTGAGGAAGTGATGATAAAGAATGTGGTATGCGTACGTGGAGGGCAAGTAGGACAAGGAACAAGGGGACGAGACTTGAGAAAAAGTTAAAGAATCCAATGCGATGTTTTTCTGAATAAGATGGAACGGTATGCGTAAACAAAATGCATGTTGTGTACTGTGCACACTTATAAGGTCTCAATAGCATGATCGGTCTCGAATTTTGTGAGTACGAGCTCATTACTCGATTTACAAATGCTTAATAAACAGTGGACCCAGTTTCACAACTTTGGCATCAGGGTACTATACTATTATTGTTCATTCACTGAACTCTTTTTTTTTTAAATTGTTTTGGCATTTGGCGATTCTCAGTCAGCACGCTTATTGGGCTTTCCATGCTTTTTCTGGTGTGGACTCAGGACTTGGCACTGGACATGGGCCTTAAGCGTTACCGATTCATGAGGACTGGACGGACTCGCCCAAATGAATACTTGCTCCGTATCCATTAAGAAAGGTTTTCTCCTCACTCGATGTCAGCTGGACTCGTGTGGAAGACTGGAAGCAATGCCCGAGCCACTTGTGGCTGAGGGGCCTCGGAAAAAATGACATATATAAAGCATGGGATTTTATATTTTGTAATTTACATTTTTTTTATACTTTATGCTTTCTTATTATAATATTTTAAATTTTAAACTCATTTTAATTTAACTTTTTAACTCAAATTAATTCATTTTTTTTTACTCAAAGCCCAGTAAATATTAGTCCCTAATTTAACTGTACTTAAACACTAATATTATTTATTAATTCTTTAAAAAACAGAAAAAAAATCTATTTTCACTAACCCATAAATGCATTGTTCTTGTTCTAAATACAAGTCAAGGACTTGTTAAAAAAAAAAAAGACAATGGATAATGAAGATTTAAAACTCAAAAGCTAACTGGTTGAGTACTTTTTGTTGGCTTATTGCATTTGTATATCTATAATTGAAAGTTGAATTAAAAAATAAAGAGAGGTAGTTGATTTGAGGGAGAAAGAAAGGTTTTTTGTGTATCGAAGATTCTAGCTTTGCCGCTACGTGGAAGGATCATTATCCTTGACACCAACGTGACAATCAAACATTGACATTAAAGGAGAGGTGATTGTGTATCTTATGAGAGATTAATTGACTCTGGAAATCACAGTTGTTATCTTCAACTTGGCACTTTCGTCCACCTTGGTTTTTGGTTATTTTTTCCATACATCTAGGCTATAGGCACGGGGTGCTAGTTTTTAAAATAATGCAATTTGATTATAAATCCTTAGACATTTGTTATGAATACTGCTGGCTAATAAATATGCTACTCACTCATGAACGGTGGGATTTCTTGAAGTCCTCTTATATTGCACGAAACGAGTTGCACTATTAATAAATTGTGAACCGCGCGCAAATATTAATATTGTCATGTATTTTATATTATTTTTATGGCAGACAGTTAAGGGAAAAAAAAATCGTTGATCATGTTAGTCTTGAATCCACAAACACGTATCGCGTTATGTTGAATTATTATTTTTATATGAATAAAAAGCCGATCAAAAGCTGAACTCCTAAGATTGAAAAGTAGCATGACAGAAAATTAGAGGGTTGAAAAATGAATATGAGTGTGTGTAGTTTCACTACTTTCCATCATGAAGGCGACCGGCGGAGTTGAAGACCCACATGAGATTTTTGAAAAAGATCGAGTTAAATACAGCTGTTATCCTCTTCCTTACATATTGACCCCAAACAAACATGTATGAGACACGCTGACGTTTGGCTTATGGCTTCTTTCGAGTCTCAAGTCTTGACACGGTTTTAATACCATACCCCACCGTGCCCCGTACGGCGTCGTTTTCACTCATCGAAGTTCCTCTCTCCCCTCGGGTTCATTTTCCTTTCCTCTTCTTGTCTTTTTCCTGAATGGGATGATCACCCAACAAGTCTGATCATTCCATTTGTATGATGAGAGTCAGTGAAAAGAGGGGAACCTGAGGTTGGAGATGAAGTATGAACTCACGTACGAAAGATGTGTGTGTACCTAACATGTTCCATCTTCCATTGAACTTAGACATTACATGTCCAAGCTGACATATAACACCAAGCTAGTCGCCAATCATTCACCCACTTTTGACCACTTCCCATTCTTATGCGCTTTGTGTGTTAGGAGAACGTAGACTAAAATTGGTGGTTTCAGTGAAAAGTGAAAACTAATAGCCTGCGTTGCCTATTATTGAATCGTGGGTGGAATTTTTCTTCTTCGTCGGATCAACATTTTCCTCGTCCTCCTTAAATAAATTAACCCTCCCTGACTAATCTATTCGAAATCTCGCAAAAAAGACGCCGAGAATGTCAACACGAATCTTGACTTTTCTCCCTTGTAAAGATTACCCACAACCATCAGTTGCTGGTGCAATTCGATCTCACGGGAACGGACTATTTAGAAACAAATTACATACAAATTGTCTAAATCACTTAG